ATTATTTGGTATCGGCGTACTAGATCCTACTTGGGTGTTTGCTAATGTACACGAATTTTGTTCACTACTCACAGGTATCGACATGCTCACGGTTGTCGATACTACAGGTATGTTATCATTATGACTTTGCCCCCAATATTTGGTGGGTGTGACCCATTTAATCCCTCATTGTTACCTTGGTTATTTGATGAACTCTGACTCATGACTCTCCCACTCCTTAATCTCATACAATTTCGAACTAACCAATTTTGTGTTTCTCAACACAAGACTCCCCCTACCTGGCGTGCCAATTTGTTTCTGGTGGAATTTCGATCGATTTCGATTCTAAGGGTGTTTTGGTCCTAATCAAAATTCTACCACGTAAGCTCTTTTTACTTAGGCTAGCAATTTGATTTTCAATCGAAAACGTGTATGAGAATCGAAAACTACGGGATATCGAAAAGGTCGTTTTTGGTGTTTTGTATTTAAAGTATCGAAAGCATTAAGACTATCGAATCGAAAGCGAGTGTTAAATTGCGAGGAAATGTAAAATGCGAAAACCCCAAACTTGCATTAATTGTAAATAGCGAGAAATCGAAAACAACGCAAATATAAATGACAAGGAATCGAGATTGCAAGAAAAGTAGATGACAGGAAATTGAGATTTGCAGAATGTTAAATAACAGGAAATCTAAAGTGCGAAAACCCCAAACTTGCATTAATTGTAACTAGCAAGAAATCGAAAACAACGCAAATATAAATGACAAGAAATCGAGATTGCAAGAAAAGTAAATGATAAGAAATCGAGATTTGCATAATGTTAAATAACAGGAAATCTAAATGCAGAAACTCAAATTTTTATTGAATTGAAATGGACAAGGAATAGAAAATACAGAAACATAAAACTGCTGAATTTAAGTTGCATCAAAATAAATTACCAAGGAAAATACAGAAAGCGGTAAATGTACTCAGTGAGCAAGGAAATCCAGATTGCGAGAAACTTCATGGTGTTCGTCGTTTCTCCGGTAGACTTTTCACTACTAATCCTGTTCTCTGCCAATTTCTGCTCCCCTGTTTCTCCTTTCATTGTTCTATTTATAGGGCGTTGTTCAAGCCTCCTAAGAGCAGTTAACGAGACTGCCACCACGTTCTTCGTGCGTATGACAGTTTCTTTTTACAGTTTTCTCATGTTCTCACGATCCTTGATTCTTCCGTGATTGAGAAGCTATTTCCCCTACGTGCGTTTGACTAATTCTCTTCAAGGTTTAGGAAGGGTTTCGATATTCATGTAAAAAGAACCTTCCCCTCGATTTCGATTTTGTCGAGAACTTTGCATACCTGACATCGATTTATTTTAACCTTAACTTCACATATTTCAATTTTCTTGGTTTGTTCCATGTTAACCTTTCGACTATTACTCCGACTCTTTCGACCTTTCGATTTTATGTGTCACGCCTTTTATATTCGGACATCGAAAAATTCCCTTTCAACTTGTTTCTCGATCATCCTTCTCGATTCCATATTAACACCTCTATTCTCTATTGAAATGGCCATTTTCGGCCCAGTAACAAATACTAAGGGCAGTTCAGTGTTAAAGACACCCCTATTTTTATAAACCTAACATTCACCTTTAAGAAGAACCTGGTGGCAGTTATATCTTGTGATTGAATTTAAAATGTAATTCATACAAATGCAAATTTGATTTTTCAAATTTATGACATAAAACGAAATTTGGTTATATTTTTATAAAGTTTAATTTGTTTTGCATTGAAAACAGAAACGTGTGTTTTTTTTGTGTGAAAAATATGTTTATACAAAATAAAGTATACCAGGAGCTATACTTAATAATAATGAGTGCAAGAATAAGGAAATTACAAGTTTTTTTTATATTCCGTTCAAGTTAAAAATGGTAAACCGACCAGTAGGTTCGGAATGTGAAAAGTTCACCAACATTAAAAAATATTTATATATTAAAATAAAATTAAAAAATATTATAATAAAATATTATAATTTATATATTATTAAAATATATAAATATATTGTAATATTATAATTATAATTATAAATATTAATAAATTAAATTTAAATCATTAATTATAATTAATTATTTTAACATATAAATATAAATTTTTTTAAAATTTTATCTAATACAAATATTAATTAATCAATAAAAACTTAAAATTATTTATATAGTTAAAAGTATATTTTTTAAAAATATATATATTGATTGATTGGTATGCTAATCCATTTGTCGAACTTTTAACAAGGTGAATTGGGTTGTATCTTTTTACATCTTGGTAGTTTTTTTTTTTTTTCATCATGAAAAAAATATAAATTATATTTGACTCATCATTAAAACATTTCTACATCTTCGAAATTTGGTTATTCCCAAATACATTTATAAACTGACTTTTATAAAAATATATTTTGCATTGTGTATTATAAATTTTTCTTTCAAGTTCAAAAATGCATTTTTAATTGAACAATTTGAATTTCTATATTCATTTTTATATTAATTTTCATCTAATAGATACAAAATATTGATAATTTTTTAATTTATGGACTAAAGACTGTCTTCAACCGAGGTAAAACCATAAAATTATAGAAACTATGAAAGTATAAAAGAACCAAATAAAATAATTTTTAAGATTTCAAACAAAAATAAAAAAAAAATATTTAAGTCATTTTACATAAATAAAAAGAAACATCTAACAACTAAGATTTGTAGTTCATTCTAACTATAATAAAACCGTCTATCTCATTTCATTTAAACCCTAAATCGTAGTGATGCAAACAAAAGTTTCAGTGTCTTTGTTCATAACTTTTTAAAGATTATTTAACTGATTTACATTTTTTAAACTTTCTTTTATAAATTTCATTTTTATATTTTTTTGCTAAGCATCACTTTTTCCAAAAACATTTAACTTTTATTTTCACTATTGAAACTTGTCTTTTATTTTTCTGTAGCTTCTTTAAAAATATTTAAGTTTTAATCATCTTCCATCATTTTGAATTTGCGATAATATATATTTTTAATAAATATTTTATTTTATAAAATTTTCATAAACACTATTTTAAAAATGAGATCAGATAGATCAATTTAACTAATTTAATTGGAATCAGTTTAAAAAAATTAATTTATTGTTTCTAAATAATCGTATTTTAATTAAATTAAAAAAATTTAAAAAATTGGAATAAAATAATAAAGAAAAACTGAAAAAGTTACTAAATTTTTAGATTAAAATTATTTTAATAAAAGAAAAAAATAAAGATCAATTTTTATAATATAATTTTTTTTTAAATATTATATATTTTTTATTTAATATTAATTACGTAAACTTTAAATAGTAATTATTAAATTATGTTTTTAACATATTTATAAATTTTATTAGAATTGACGGTGACATAATTATAATTTTTATTAATATTTCTTATTTTTAAAAAAATATTATTTATCATAAATTTGTTATATATTTATTATATTAAATTTGGCTCAACTTTCAGATCCTCGAGCATGTATTCACCCGTTATCGATCTGATTTTAAAAATTGAAACATATTCTATCACACAAAAGATTTTAGCAAACTTTGTATTTTTTTTTAAATTACATGCGCCTTTTTCTCATATATTTTAATATTTGGTCATTTCTTCGTAAAATCATCGTCTTTCCTTCTTTACAATTTTAAAAGTTTTGTCGTTTGCAATTTTGTCTTGTTTTGAGAAGATACTTTTTTTGTTTTTAAAAAAATTCTAACCATATTTTTATATTTCTCAAACTCTGTTTTCAAACATAACCATATGCACTTTTAAGACTTTTTTTTTTTTTTAAATCATCACAGTTTAAAAAGCATATTTTTCTATCACTGAGAATTCTTTTTTAAACTGGAAAAAAGTATTTGATATTCCTCTATTATTTCTTAAATTTGGCTTTGACCACTACAGTCTCAAATTGATAAATTAATCATTAAATTTAAAAAATGTGTAAATTTACTCTTTCTTGATTATAAAAAAAACATTCTTAAATACCAAAATTATTTATAAATAATTATTAAAATTAATAACTTTAAATATCGAAACACTTATTCATTGATATAAAAATACAAGAACCAACATCAAATTTAATAAAAGCTACGGGAACAAAACACAAATTTCTTTTAAAATTTACATATAATTTTAATAATTTTTATTTGATTTGATTGTTTAAAAAAATATTTATATTCTTATTATTTTGAAAAAAAAATCCTTTACTTTTCGCATTTTTAAATCGTTTCTTTTCGTATGTTAATTAAAATTACGGTGATTCCTTAACACTTTCCATCTTTTATTGAAAAAAAAAATTACACATTTCAACTGTGTATTTTCTTGTATCTGATATCATCTTGCTTTTGAAGAATTTAAGGTTTATTTTCATTTAAAAACCGTTATCTTACTTTCTGGAAAAAAAAATTAATGATTTTTACATCATCAATGATTTTTAAAGTGCACATATTTTGTTTATAATTTGTGCAAAGCATTTATATTTTTACATTTTTTTAAATTTTAAATGAACAATTGAATTTTATAAACAACTTTTTTGTTTAAAAAATAAGAGGAAGAAGGCAAAAAGAAAGTGTCTCATACAAAATTTTCAGGGTTACGTATTTTTTTATATACAATGCAATGTAATTTTTAACGACAAGGAGGAACCAGCCCAACTCCTAAACCGTGGAAATCGCGTAGGGCCGTGGGCCCAAGATAATAGTGTAGTGGGCTTATGAGAAGAGAAAACAAAAATGGGTAGCGCATTGGCTCAAGAGGGGTAACGTAACGAACTTGAAATGTGTAGTACATGTACTGCATAAATCCAATGGAGTACTACCACCATAACACGCAATTATTCGTTAGATATTTTTGTAGTGTTGAATGAAAAGAAAGGAAAAATGTGACGCATGAATATGTTTGGAAATGAATTTGTGTAAAACGGGAATCAATTATTAACAACAATAAGAATATACAAGTAATTGACGATTGCAGGTTGAATTTCACATGGAGAAGCAACTGCCGTTGTTGTTTGGATGTTTGGTTGGGGCGGCGGAGAGCGGCGGCGCAGTCTTGGAGGAGGAACGGACGGCCTCGTAGCGGCGGCGAGCGGAGGGCCGTGGAAGATTCTCCGGCACGATGGTTTCGAGCGAGTTGTCTTGCCAACGGGGGCAGGTTCGTTCCTGGCTCCATTTGGCACCAGCGTTGGAAACATTTGATACATGGTCAGCAATTGGCAGAGTGGTGGTTTGAAGCATTTGTTGAGCTACAGCCATTGAATCGCACATTTCTAGTCCAACCACGTAGGACGCGACTCCCATCACAACGCATTGCCTCTTCCACGATGCTTGGTTTTTGACCCTTTACAACGCACGTATATATGTATAGGGTGGCAATTAGTTTTGTTGAAGTGTATGTGACATGATGAGATAGATATAAATATTGTGACCCTAGAAACAAAAAGAGATGCGTAAAGATTAAAACTTACGATGAAAGATGAGGTGGGTAAGCATTGGAAGGTTGGTTTGAGGTGAGAGGGGGGAGGCTTAGGAAGCAACCAGTTCTCATGGTGAGAGTTGAGAGTTGAGAGAGTATTAATGAATTGCTTCTTAAGGATTTTGTTATGTACTATAGTTGCGAAGGAGAGAGAGAGAGATATATATAAGGTGGCAAAAGGTTGAAGCATGTAAATGTAGCATGCGTGTGTAAAGTAAATAGAAGAAAATGGTGGAGTGGGAGAAGTAGGTGAGATGTTCCAAGAGGCAAAGCCATCTTTATTTACTTTGAATAGATTGATGGTGGTTCTTCCTAATATTGCGTGCCGTCTTTGCACCAATGACACACTTGTCGCACTCTTCCAACCTTACTCTCCTCCATTTATGTTGGATGTATTTTTGGAGAGGACCTATTCCACTCAGATACAACATGATGTGAAACACGTTACTAAACTTTAAATTCATAAACTTATATTCTCTCTACGAATAAAAGTATTAGTCGTTAGGATAATAGGGTTAGAGAAAATTCTGATGTTTGAGATATAAAAAAAAATATATATTTTTTATATTTATTTTTTTAATGATGGGAGGAGCACTTTAATATTTTATGAATGACCTAATTTTTAACGTAGAAAAAGCTACACGCGGATAGTGCGACAAAAAAACTAGCGCTAACATCAAATACAAATACTTTTGAAAAGTATGAGTAGTTGCTTCCAAAACAAGTCAAAATTTTAGGTTAACTTGTGAACAAGATGGTCTACTTTTACAAGCGACCTACCAAATTTGGAGCAAAAGACGAGGAATAAACAACTTTGTCGGCTTAAATAGGAGGATCCTTTTTCTATTCATGTATGAATTAACTCTAATAACGGTTTTATTAAGGTTGTTCTAGAAAATGATTAAATAATAAATAAATACTAAAAAAAACACATAACATACCATGTTTCACACAAAAAAAAGTTGACAACCTCGATAGAGTGAGTGTGGTTTTTAAGTTTGGTGTCTCTTTAGTGTTGACTAGGTCTTTATTTAAGATATGAAGGAGTGTAGGTGAAGCAAAGCCCAAAAACGAGATCCGGAAATTGAGTCTCACTATGAATCGGGCCAAGTATCCATTTTCGATTCTATATTTTTATTCGAATGCCATAATTATCTCAAGTATTTTAAAATACTTACAAAAATTTAGGGTTTTTTTAATCGTAACTATACTATTAGATAGTTTTTATGTATTTATATAATAATTTTATACTATTTAGAGAAATCAAAACTATATAAAAACTAGTATATATAACCTTTTTGGTGTTCACTAATTTAATTTTTTTATTAAAAATAAATAGTTTATAATAAAAATAATTGAAGAGAGATGAAAAAGATATTATTATAAAAATAATATATCTTTCGACGTGAGTTCTGACTCATTATTGAATTTAAAATTTAACTAAAAATATTTTCATTCTGTTTTAAAATCGGAAAAAGGTGAGAACACATGTATGTATGTGGGTAATCAAATTATACCTTTTCCATTTATTTGTTTTACATTTTCAGTTATTTAATAAATGGACATTAGATTAAAAATTTATTTATTTATTTTTCTCATCTTCTTTAATAACTATATTTTCTACACGATCAACCAACATTTTCTTATAAATAACTAAATCCAAAACTTTCATTTTTTTTAAATTGTACTTTTGCTAACTAGTGATGAACATGTTAAATTGAAAAAGAAAAAGATAAAATTATTAAGGAATTGTATTTTAAGGTTTGAATGAGAAGAGGAATGAACAATTATGTAAGTAAGTAAGTAAATAAAGAATATGTTAAAGTGAGTTTTGAACTAGATATTGAGTTTGAGTTCACATGGAGAAAAAAAAATGTTTCTTACTAAAAACATGTCCAAGTTTTGCAATTAAAAAGAGACAAATAATTTTAAGTGTTATGACAATGTAAATTACACTTTTTAATGCTATCGATTTATCATGATTGAAGTTTAATTAGTCAATGAAGATCCTTTGTTTTAGTATTGGGGTACGAGAATAAAATGAAGAATTTTGTTGACAAGACTAAATTAAGAAAATAGGGAAAATTAATTAAAGTTGAATTCAAGCACAATTGCACCAAAATGACTCATTATTATACATTAACTATGATTTGAGTTTATTTTAAAGAAAATATTTAAATTCCCAAATTCACATCAATAGTGTACTTTTAAGTTGGAGTTTAGTTAATTCTGGAATAAATAAATAATTAAAACCATTTTTGGGCATCACTTTTACATCTAATTTGGTGGACAAAGCTTTTTCTTTTGATTTTTGTTTTCTAATTTTTTGTTTTGTTTTAAGGCTTATTTATATAGTTATGTATTAACTGAAATAATCTCCCACGAATTGATCATAAAAATTATTGATTTACATACTTTAATATATTTTTCTTCATGTATTATTATAAAAATATATTTTTTATTATTTAAATAAGACAAAAAACTGTCATTAAATAAGAAGAAGAAATATAAAATTGGTTGATAGTAATAAAGTAAATAGGATGAAGGAATATATTTTGAATAGGTTTTATTACCTTAATAAAACCTAAATTTTATTTTTATATCTATATCTATATATTAAAGATTTTAAAGAGGAAAAATACGTATTATAATATATAAAATAAGAGAAATAACACAAACAATAATTATTAAGATTTATATATTTAAAAAATAATTAAAAGAAATAAGAAGAAAAAATAATACAATAGATAAAAAGTACATCTAAATATTGAGTTTTTTAATATTTTAAAATAAATTTATAAAATAATGAATGTGAATATAGACGTTTTAAATGTTTTGTTTCTACTAGTATTGATAATTAATATTTATTTTAAAAGTTAGAATAAAATCAATAAAATAAAGAAGAAATTTACCTAAATATCTATGATAGTAATTATTTTTATTTGCAAAAGTTATTGGGATGATTAGGACTCTGCGAGATTTATAAAATAACGAGTTTCAAATAAAAAATATTATAAATTGTAATATTTAACTTTATTATAAAAAGTCACAATTTCATTTAAGTCCTTTCATCTAAAAATTGAAAATCATAAGTTTGTTGCTACCAAACATCTTTTTATTCACATATCACCACTAAAAGTTGGACAAATATCTAACTCAAAAATATATTTTTTTTTCAAATGGTAAAAAGTTCAAAAAAATCGAGATTAAAATTCTATAATTTTCACTATTATTTTTTATTTTTAAGAACACTATAGCTCTATACAGCTGTGAACTGTTTATATGATGTTGACTCTTGAAGGGGTGTGATGATTGGAGAACAGATCTAATCATCATTTAGTTCATATATGTATATATATGTTTTTGTGTAAGAAAAGAGGCTACTATCATATATTAATATTAACATGATTGAAACTTTAAAATGAAAATCAGCATCAATCACCCAGCGTTCAGATCCACTGAATTACATATACATAGGAGAGGAAAGATAGTTAATAATACTGTGTTATTTATTTTATATTAATGTGCTAGGAAAGAGAGACGTGTCCCTCTCAAAATAAAAAAGAAGAAATCCCTGGCCGTTAACAAAGCTCAAAATTTTACATGCCACCGCATTTTGAAAGTTAAAACCCCACCAACCACCGACCACCGCCTTCAGATACGACGGTGAATCTCTCTGTTCACAGCATTTGTGTCATATACTCAAATCTCGCTTTCACAATTCCTGCATTTGTGACACCTTGTTCCCTATGAATCGCAGAGACCCGCCCGCCAAACCTAACTCCAAAAAGACCTAATTTTTGCACTTGTTTCAGCTGCCCTATTGTTTTTTGCAATCTGGGTCGAACCCTTTTCGATTTGTGGTCACTTGGATCTTATGGTGGAGGAAACATGGAAGAAATTGAAGGGGTGAATTGTTGCAGTGAAGGTGAAAGCAGGAGCTCTAGTGAGACTCGACCTCCCAATCCCAACCCACCTTCACATCGCCAATGTAAACTTGTTCGCCACGCTTCTCTCGTGAGTTATTCTGTCAGAAAAATGATCTTTTCTTTAAATATGTATATTTTTGTGCTACTATGGTAGTGTGTGTGTGCTTATTTATATCCTTTTAGACAGGAATAGAATGGTTTATGGTTTCGATGTTTGAACAGTTATGGAATTACTGAGTTCCTTAAAATGGTTCTAATATCTATATTTGTCAAGAGCACCGTTCCTTTTCCTTTCCGTTGCCATTTTCATGCAGTGAGAGATTTTGGAAAGTTGTTGCAAAGGAAAGTGGTTGAGTCATATGTGCAAATAGGTTTAGCTTATATGGGTTATTTTTCTTTTCATTCCTTATACATGAAACCTAGAGTTTGGATTTAGGGTAAACGGAGATTTTGGTGGGAGAAGTGATATAAAACACTGATGTAAAAAATCTCAAATAGTGGAGGTAGTAAATTACATAAATCCATGTAAATAGTAACATTGAACTTTGTTCCTTGTCATTTTTATGGTTACCTCAAGTGTGCTAACGTTCTTTCTGGGGCTCTTCTGGATTTGTCTATTTAGTTTTTTTGTCTGTATAATTTACAGTCATTAGTTAATAAAGATTGCTATTGATATGTTATTTCTAGAGTTCCAAGTTACTTTCTGCTACTAAAAAAAAAAAAAAAAGTTTTTCTGACTTTTGTGGCAAAATCAACAGATGAAAACACAATTGTGTGATGTATCTGAGCCAGGGCATGTTACTGAAGATTGTCAGTCTGATTTCTTTCCAACTCTTCGATCTGGAGCTTGCGCTGATATTGGATTTCGGTCTAGTATGGAAGATGTTTATGTTTGCGTTGACAATTTTATGCACGATTATGGTCTCAAAAATCGAATAGATGGACCCAGTGCTTTCTATGGGGTATATATCTATTCTTGGTGTTTAACTTGATTAATAATTATTATTGTGTTAATTAATTTTAGTTTTTCTGCGAGGTTTTTATTCATCGTCATTTTCATGCACTGCTATTTTTTTCTGTCTTATGTTCCCACACATCTGATGAAATTTGTTTGGAATCGCTTTGCAAATCATAGTCCACAACTTTTGCTAATGGTATCTGGTGATAATGCATTGCTTTACCTATGGTATGGACTATTGACAAATGCAAATAAACACATTTTGGACACAAAGTTGCTGATCCAGGAGTTTTTTCAGCTCACAAGAATAGAGAATATTTTGTTTGGTTCTTGCATTTGTTTGAAAACTGTTGTAAAAGTCAGATAATGATTATGGTCGATGGCTTGGTCAGGTATTTGATGGACATGGTGGAAAGCATGCTGCCGACTTTGCTTGCCAGCATCTGCCAAAGTTCATTCTCGATGATGAAGATTTCCCTGGAGATATTGAAAGGATAGTTGTTTCAGCATTTCTGCAAACAGACAATGCCTTTGCAGAAGCTTGCTCTCTGGATGCTGCACTTGCATCTGGCACCACTGCATTAGCTACTCTTGTTATAGGAAGGTTAGGATTTTGATAATCTGGGTATGCATATATTTTTTTTTTCCCAAATAGCCAAAAATTTTTGCTATTGATTTTCTTTGAGTAAGTTTCCACTGTTTTTTGAGCAAGTACAAAAGCCATAAATAAAATGAGGTTCAGGAGCTTTTTCTCCTGCCACAATAGTTGGCTTTGGCCCAAAATTCTGTAATATGCCCCTCCTTTTCGAGAATCTGCATGCCTTTGATAAGTTGTGTGATGATCATAGTTTCTGATTGCAGGTTGCTGGTGGTGGCAAATGCTGGAGATTGTCGAGCTGTGCTATGCCGTCGGGGAAAAGCGATTGAAATGTCAAGAGATCATAAACCAAGTTGCAACAAAGAAAGGAAGCGTATCGAGGCCTCAGGGGGGTATGTCTACGACGAATATCTTAACGGGCAACTTAATGTTGCTCGCGCACTTGGGGACTGGCACATGGAGGGAATGAAGAGCAAAGATGGTGGACCACTGACTTCAGAGCCTGAACTTATGACTACAAAACTGACCAGCGAGGACGAATTTCTCATCATAGGTTGTGATGGGATTTGGGATGTATTCAGGAGCCAAAATGCAGTGGATTTTGCTCGGCGCAGGCTCCAGGAGCATAATGACCCAACCATGTGTAGTAAGGATCTAGTTAATGAGGCTTTAAAGAGAAAAAGTGGAGACAATTTGTCTGCAGTTGTGATATGCTTCCAGCAGCAACCTCCTCCCAACTTGGTGGCTCCCCGCTCTAGAGTGCAGCGGAGCTTCTCTGCTGAAGGTTTGAAGGAGTTGCAAAGTTTCCTGGACAGCTTGGGTAATTGAGTTGTTACAACTCCTTCTGCTTCAATTTTCTTTTTGAGGATTAAGATTCATTTGTAATTGTAGGTGTAGGCTGAGAGAAAACCCTGACTGTAACATATGCGGCACCTAGTCGACATTTAATTTAGTCATTGGATATTTAGAATCACTGCCACTGCTACATTCTTATTACATTTCTGCATAAACAGAACCAATCAATTCATACCTTCATCGCTTGTGTGCTTCTCACTTCTCACTGACCCACCAAAATTCCTCTTTTTCTTTACTTGGTTAGTTGAGGATTTTATCATGTGGGGATCTGTCAATTATTTGATGCATTTTAGTTTAGTAATCAGAGGCATATTTTTTCTTTTAATCAAAAAGCTATGATTATTAGTTGTATAACAAGATAGTTTTTTCTTTTGTCAAATACGTTTTTTCTTGAATATGTTTGTTCAAGTCTCAAGTGCATGAGATCAAATCTTTTCCAGTTAATAGTTCCGAGCCCAATTTGGATAAAGACAAAGAACGTGTCTTATTTTTGAAGATGAGAATGAGATTTTTGTTTTAAAAAGTGACTATTTTTTAACAGAACATAATATAATGCGTGAGACTGTAATTTGTGAGTTGTCCTTTTGAATAACTGTTTTATATTTTTTAATGTATTGATTTTTTTTAAATAATATTTGATGAATTTGTTTAATACAAGGTTGACAGTTATGTAATAATTTAAAGATTTGAATTTTAATCTCAGATAATTTTTCAAGAAAAGCTAAGTACGTTAACACTACATTTGTACACACACGCACACAAATAAAAAACACTATATTTGTATGAAAAAAATACATAGGAGAAAAACACAATGAAACTTATAAATACGTTAATATATTAGAGTCGATTTAGTGATAAACTATTTAGATAGACGATGGAAAGAAATTCTAACATAAATTGTTTTCTCTTTTTAAAATTATAAGCATTTTTTTATAGAAAATAATCTTGTTTGAATCCAATAAAAAAGCTTTACGGAATGACATTTTTCTTTAAATATTTAATACAACTACACATTTAAATTCAAATTTAAAAACTAATAATTAAGATAAAATAACTTCAACTCCATCCGTCCATGCACAAAAATTAAATAATCCTTTTAATTTCTTATTTAATATTTTCAAATGAAATTTTCACGTCCATTATTGACTCAATTAACACATGACGTCACCATTGTAGTCATTATAAACAGTGTGTGTGACATAACATCGTTAATTTATTACTCCCCTAATAAAGGGCACGTGTCTCCCGTCAGTTTTCATTGATCATTAAAAATGGAATCATTTTCATGAAGACGACAGATAGATCCATAAATTATTGATCCTGATGCTGTCACCTAAAATAATTCTTGCAGCAATAGTTTATACAACATTATCTTTTGTATTTCTTTTACATATTTTTCATTTCTCTCTCTTATTATAAAAACATTTTTCTAAATGATTTTCGCTGCTAAGTATCTCTTAGTTGACTCAGGTTTCTTGGACTCTTCTGAAAACAACAAGCACATTCACATAGGCATTGGAGTAACCATTAACATCCCCCAAACGAAAGTACAATGAAGCTGGTATTGTAGAACAAGGGACATGGATTGTAACTTAACGACAAAAAGTGAAACAAAAAGATTCTCTCTATCCGAGAGTTGATATAATTAAATCGCATGATGTTGTAGAAATTTCAAAGGAGAAGTGATCTATGTTTCTATATATTTCTTTGTTGAATGAAATGTGATCCTTGATTTACAAGTTGTGTAAAGTGAAGTGGTCATCTCTTTTGGAAATTGAATGCCTTGATTGAGAAGGCAAAGGTAAATCCAAAAAGTAGTGAAAACCCAACAAGCACAGCAGCAGCTACACCTACAAAGTCCTCTCTATACCCAAAATAACTCCTAACAAACTCTTCCACGGTCTCTCCAGTCTCTATACGGTCTTTTGTATCACCAAATTGTGAAGTAACCAATCCATACAAGGTCCAAGACACAGGACAGATCCAGAAGTACCATCTCCACCACACTGGCATCCTCTGTCACATATAAGGATCATAATATCATTTGTGAGTTAATAACTTGCTGTATAGTCTAGTGTTAAAATGAAACCAGAGGGACAGATGAACTTACTGTTCTTGGAATGACAAATCCTGAGAAGAGGTTCCATATCATGTAGAACCCAAAGGAAACTATAGCAGCAACGTTGTGATCCGGGGTAAGACCCACAGCCATCATGCCATAGAAGGTGAAGTATAAAAAAGTGAAGAACATGAAGAAGAGATACCAAAAGAACTTGCTGAGCGTCCAATCAAACCCAACCATAGCATACACTATGACCCCATACACCAGGGTCTGTATGAGTATGTATGGGATCTCAATAGCAACCTGAATATTTCAAATGTGGGGTAAAATTAGTGTTCCATAACTTCATAATTACTGTTCTATTACTAAGAGAATTCTTTGATGATTAATTAATGTTCTTTAGTCATTACATGAGCAGTTTCATGTATACCTGTCCAAATGCGTATGGTAAAGCTGAGTACATTCCAGCAGCTCTTTCTCTATAGAAGACTGTTCTCTCAATGGCTACAACAGGTTGCACGGATGTAGCATTTTGTATCCCAATGAATAGGACTGCTGCATACATGGACCCCATTGCATTAAATAGATCTTGTTTTCTTTGCCTGCATCAGAGGAATATGTATAAATTAAGGTGATTTATGAAAGATAAAAAGGGACTTAGAAACTATTGGAAGAAATTTTGGAAAGTGGTTGCTTGTTGGTACCTTTTGGAGCCAATATCCCAAAATATTGTCCCAAACAGTAAGGCTATGATTGTTGTGAATAAAAGTCTCACTGCACTATACGGGGGATTTCGCCAGTATGACAGGTGTTGTTTCCAAAGGCAAGCCATGCATTGAGTGAATAAAGTCTGTGAGTACTTCGTGGGGAAGTACAAGTCTTTGGAACCTGCCGGAGGTGTGCTAAGTTCCCTGATCAAGGCCTTGTTTCTCCTGAATGTAATTGTGTAATATTGGTTAACCATAGAAAAACATGTTAACAGTAACAACTGCTCAAAGAGCAATGCTTTCATATGAAATTTGGTTTGAGTTTCTAGTTGTTCCTACCTATATAGGTCGGAATTCTTGTATATTTCAGTGAAGTTAACTTCAAGAGCTGCTTCTTGTGCTTCTGAAGTAACCTCCAACATCCACGTGGCAGGATTATAGCCATTCTTAATTTTTGGCACCCCATTAATTCCCTACACCAAGCACAGGTTACTTGATGAACAAACTGGTTGAAAATAGTATTTAGCACTAGTTAATTGCTAATTAGAGATGGTGCAAACCTCAAAGTAACTGATCAGTTGAGAACAATGCTGGCCTAAAGGCCCCACATATATTTCCTCACCTCCACGCTTCAACAGAAGTAGCTGTCATATTACAATATATATGTTCAGCCTCGAAATGAAACAGTGAATTTTTGTAAGCTGGTTAGAAAAGGAAAATTGTCTCTGACCTCATCAAAAGCATCAAATATATCAATGCTAGGCTGGTGGATTGTGCAGACCACGGTTCTCCCAGTATCCACTGTATTCCTCACTGTTCTCATAACTATAGCAGCAGCTCTGGCATCAAGGCCAGAGGTAGGTTCATCCATGAATATAATTGATGGATTGGCAACAAGTTCAACTGCAATTGTTAACCTCTTGCGCTGCTCCGTGGACAGACCATTCACTCCAGGCAATCCCACCAAGGCTTCTCTTAATGAAGTCAGCTCTACCAGCTCCATAACTTCCTCAATGAACATCTGCAATCATTGAATAGGATCGATCTGTAAGCAACTGAAATGGCATCATTGGAAACTTAGAAGAAGGTACAGTACGACAATGTTACAAGGTCGTTTGCTGTGTGTGCACTAAGAACTTCTAACATGAGCAGGAGCACAGTTCTTACTGGGCACAACACAACCAATCAAACACTCAAGATTTCCTCATTTCAACAAGTAATAGGATGCTCCAAATTCTTTTGTCTGTTAATATACTATGTATGATCTAATATACAGAAGTTTACCTGTCTAGTTGCAGAATCAACCTCAGGTGGTAACCGAAGCCATGCAGAATAAACCAAAGACTCATAGACTGTAACATGGGGAGAGTGGATATCAGTCTGCTCACAGTATCCTGCTATCCGAGCAAACGTTTCTTGCTTTTTAGGGTAACCGGATATAGTGATTTGCCCTTGAATATAACCTGCTGTTTTCCTTCCAGATAACACATCCATTAAAGTTGTTTTACCAGCCCCACTTACACCCATTAGAGCCGTCAGAACTCCCGGTCTAAAAGCTCCGTTAACACCCTTCAACAGTTCAAGTCGATCTTCAAGAATGCCTTGGTTCTTCATTTCCTGCAAACATAGGAGAGAAATCGGAACTATTTCCAGGAAACTATTGGAAATATATCGGGATGTAGACTACACATGACTCTCTTTCTAATGCTTGGTTTTTTAATCTTCATAAGCCATTATCTTAAACTGAACATGTGCGACTTATTCCTAATGCTCTATTACAGAAAAGGGTACTCCGTTTGAAGTCAATTCTTGTACCTGTGGCATCTCCACCGCATATCTGATTTCATCAAAAGTAATAGAAAGGGGTGTGAAAGGAAGAACCATCCCTCGCTTCGTGTTGTGTTCACTTGCACCAATGCTGCCCACTCTTGCTGACAGTGTTCTGGAGGACACACTTTTACGATTTTCATTTCCTTTATCTGTATTGAAATTATACTCTACGTGAGCAAGTGCAGTTAAAATAGGAAGAAAATGTGGCTATGTGAGTGAACATGCAACCCACCAGAAGAGCCTTCAAATCTAGACGATAATTCAATGATGTGTTCGTTTCTGCCGGCATTTCTCTCAGCCAAGGCTTCTTCTGATATTAAAGCTTGGGGTCTACCAAATGCTGCAGCAAAATGTTTCAGTTGTTAGAGCACAATTTCAGTTTCGAAACAGAAAGGTACGTGTACTATAAGGTACTTACGGTCAAGATAATGTAAGGCCAAGGGGAAAAGGAAGTTGAACAGTAACATGTATCCAATGGAAGCTCCAACCCCAATCCAATACCAGTATGCTTCAGGGAAAATCCCACGTGCCTTCAACACCGTTACTCCTAATGGTTCTGTTGAATTAGGCGGAACCTTCAATGCAAAAATATTCACATATTGTCATCAAAAACTGATTAAAGACTTCTTTTACCAGTTTCATATTTATATTCTCGTATATGAATCGAGAATGTGATTTTATTGCTTACATGTGACCAACTCTTTCCAAGGAATTCATTCACAGCCAGAGCATTCTGTCCATACATCATGGGCGAGAACCAGTAACCCCACAACCACCACTTCTTCACATCAACTGGTTCCAAAAGAAGGTAGCACTGTCAGATTTTGATTTCAACTAGATCAATAGTTGAGTGTTGTTAATGTAAATAATTACCCTATCATTCAATTAAAAATAAAGTTATTACTTTTAAAGTAAAGATTACAAATGTCAACCTTATTATTTATTACAAAGTAAACTGCAATGTTATTATTAATACTTCACCTCTGGATAGGATAAATCCTCCCATGACCATAACTGCAAGTAAAGCAAATGACCCAACTGTGTTTGCAACAATTATGTTCCTCCCAACGGCTCCCATAAATCGAAAAAGTCCAGATGCCATTTGGTTGATACAAACAAGCAAAAAGTACTGCTTGATGAACCTGGCATGAGGAGCTGTTAGTAAGCACACTATAAAGCAAACTCTAAAGTCCATGCATTAAAAAACTAAAAGAAGACTCTCACCTTTCTATACTAGGATCAAATCCTATAACATAGTACGTCATCACGACCCAAATACCAACTTCCACTAAGGTGATGGGAATCTTAAGGATCCATGTAGGTAGAGAATATGCCCAAGAAGGAAAAAAGAGAAGGTCCCTTTGCTTATAGAAAACAGGGAGTTTCATGATGGACATGGATAGTTCGGAGTATCCATTGAACATAATCACAATTAGTACGAAGAACAAAGCACCCATAAAGATACCACCATCAGTTTCTGTATCCCGGTGCATTTCAGTTCTCAGGAACAACGTCATTGTTATGAACCCCGTTAAAATCAGCTGACAATGAAAGAAACCAAACTTGAATCAATCTACATGAACTAGCTAGTGCTATTGATGAACAAAGGAAAACAAAATATTGAAGCTAGAAGAGTGCTTACCTGCCACATCTTGAAAATATAGACAAACGAATTCCTTTTCATAAGTAAGAATTCTCTGGACACGCAAGCTTTCAAAAGCTCCTTCTTGCTAACACCATATTTGTTTTTTGTTAACACAACAGGTTGGCCTTTGGACATGTCAAATGGGGTGGCAAGTTCATCACCAAGTTTTCGACCAATGTGAAATGACTGGAATGCCTCAGCAAACTCTCTAACAGTGACGAAGATGTATGGCTCATCTTTATTTGCCCAATATTGTTCTTGGTCTTTTCTTGATGTTACCTGTCATATATAGGAATAGAAAGAACTGAGTGGTGTTTCATTTAAAGATGAAACGAGGAAAACAAGTATAATGAAGCTTAAAGTTACTTCTTGTAAAAAATCTGCTACTCCTTTCCTCTCTGGACATTTGAACCCCATGTATTCAAAGAACTCAAGAACATTTTCCCTTGGACCCTGATACACAATTTGCCCATCTGAGAGGAGAATTATATCATCAAATAACTCGTAAGTTTCTGGTGCTGGCTGGAGAAGAGAGATCACAGCTGTTCCATTCAGAATGTGGATAGATTGTCTTAGAGAATTAACCATTTGGAATGTGGTAGAACTGTCTAAACCAGTTGAAATTTCATCCATGAAAAGTGCTCTTGCTGGTCCAACTAGCATCTCACCTACGATTCATTGACACGAATAATAAATCAACTTGGTAATTGGTGGTCACATTAAGTTTCACAAAATACTAAAATACTTCGTATTAAACAAAAAAACAAGACTTTTTTGTTTACCAGTTGTGACTCTCTTCTTCTGTCCGCCAGAAATACCCCGAATCATGTCATCCCCTACCATGGTATCCGCACAAACTTCTAGTCCCAAAATCTGCCGAATGAGGAACAACTAAGTTTCTTCATTCTGTTCTCTTCAAAATTAAAATCATCTTACAAATTTTTCTGGATTTAATGTCATACCTTCATTATATAATCTGTAACCACATTGGTTTCTTGGCCTTCTAGTGCTGCTGCCTAAAAATTTAGTACGTTTAGATTAGCCAGTGACATTTCTAACATATTCATTGTGGACTTGAAAAACTGCAAGAGTTTATATTAACATTTAATTTTGATCTCGTGTCACCTTCATATAAATATCAAGATCAGGATCTGGCTTAATGTTTTCAGCCTTTTCTCTTCTTGACAATTCTGCCAGCATCTCTACAAGTTACACAAATTGGAAACAGTTCAATCGAAGTTAAGTGAGATGATCCTTCGAAGTCCACCAGACCTGACATGAAGGATGACTGTTGTTTTCAAAGGACTTACTGACCATAACGGGTTCCAATCCCTTGACATCTTGCTGAAAAGGCCAATGTTTCTCTGACTGTCATTTCTCCTATGTGTAGATCAGTTTGACTTATGTAAGCTGATGTTCTCTGAGGCACAAATTCCTCCATCCCTCTACCATTATACGAAACTCTCCCCGAAAACTACAATTCATCAGCAATAGAATAGCATGAATCACAAACCTTGAATGATTCTTATTCATCTGTGCAGAGTCACTGAAACAAAAGCAAATCTCACATGTCCTTACTTTTAGATCTTTACCAAGTCTTCCAGCCAGTGCCAACAATAATGTTGTCTTTCCGGAGCTTGGAGGGCCTAAAAGAAGTGTCATTCTGCATAAGCCAAAACAAAAATATGTTTAGAAAAAGATAGTTTAGTTTAGTTCAGTTCCTCAACAATCCTAAATACCAATACTTCAAAGGTCAACTCCACCACCCTCTTACCTTTTAGGCTTGATGATTCCACTGACATCATCAAGAACTGTGAATGGCTTCTTTCGACTGGGAATAAGGTGAAGAGAATTGAGGAACCCCTTCAGAAAGAGAGAGAAAATGCACACACACAACACATGCATTTGAACTTGTCAGTGTTCTCTGCTTCAAAAACAACTCCAGTGACAACATCCAAATATATTGACCATTTATAATTACCTCCAACAAATTAATGCAGAAGTTAAAGATTGTTGGTAGTGCCCTGCTTCCCACATGAGCTTCTGCCTCAACATTCAAGTGCTCAAAACGAACTTCAATAGTGGGAATTTCAAGTCCAACACTGCACTTTCAACACAAACATTATCAATTTTTCTTTATACATGATCCAACATGAACATAAGGCCTAAAACATTCATTATTTTCCAGACCAAGTTTAAGACATCAAAACTAAATCACACACATGTTAGTTGCTTACCGATCAATGCGGTCTCTTAACTTGAACAAGAACTTCTCATTATCTTGTTCTGCAATCTTGACGAGCCTCTCCACCAAGTTCTTCCTCTGAAGTGGACCAAGTTTGTTTATACAAATCTCTTTAGGAGGCTGGCCTTCAGCCTCGGTGAGAATTCCCCTGGTCATGCGTAGATACGTGGGAAGTTTCTCAATAGCAGCCCATTTAAGCTCTTGTTCATCATCATCCCTTCTTGAAGACCCTGAAAACACATCAACACCACTGCTTCTCCACACACTGGAGCTCCCTATGCGTGCACTTGCAGCTCTCAGTTCACCATTTTCCATCTTTGCAATGAAGTTAATTCTGATATAGACTGTTTATCATAAACTTGTCATGTGCAGCGCAAAGAATTGACTCACCTGATCCTGGTTTAAGAATGAATCACATAAATGGAAATGTGTTTATCTTATCATGTGTCAAAAAATAAAATAGTTTGTTGCATTGTGTGTGTCTGTTGTGGGAAGAAACAGAAGAGGATGAATGGAAGCTTAGGAATGGAGGCACCTACTTATATAGTGGTTGGAAGGACTCACTGTCAACCCTACATGCAATCTTCTGCGTTGGCTCAATAATTTACATTTCTTAATTGAAGGACAGGTCCTCAGAATCATACCCATTTCAAAAACCTCTCACGTTAGTGATTAATGTTAGGACAGGAGAATGATATAAAAATCAAACTAATGACTCTTATATAAATAATCACGTCTTGTAATAATTATTTTTTTAAAGTACGTTTAAGGTTGTTTTGAGGAAATCAAGAAATGTAATATTTTTTTTAATAAAAGAGTTATGAGATTTTTATTTTTTTCACTCTTTATCATTTTTATATTAAAATTATTTATATGGGTAAAGTAATTAAATATTAGGTGAAGAGTAAAGATCTAATTAATAAAAAAGTTAGTTGATTCCCTCCATTTTTGAATTTAGTGTTTGTACTTATAAATTCTTTTAGAAGAACCACTTCTGCACTTGATATCCACAAGATTTATTTATTTATTTATTTTTAAATCCTAGTCTAAGAACACATTTAAGAACTAACACGAAAGATGAACTAAGATTTTAGAATGAGTTTAATGTTAAATTAACTTTTATTGTTGTGACATATTGTTGTTGCAAAGTATTTTGAAAGCTTTAAGCAATGCAAGTTAAAACAAGTATATATTACTATGACAAAGATTAAATGAATTAAAACTAATAAAAATATTAAATAAATAAATGTTAGGAGTGATTTAAGAAAAACTTGTAAATTTAAGTTGATGTTAATGTCATCAACTAATTAATTAGTTTTATTATCTCAATGAATTAGTTAATTAGAAAAGAAAATGATTTCGATGCATATTTTTTACAGAAAAAAATACATAAAATAAGAGTTTGGATATATATATATAAGAATATCTCAGTCAAAGATTAAAACAAAAAAGTCTACAATTCCTACTAATTAGCACAATCAAACGCACTCTAGATTGCTTTTAAACCAACTTTTTCTCTCTACAACATTAACCAAATTAATTTTTAAAAATTGGAGAAAAAAGAAGAAGAAAATTTAGTAGCAAATAGTGTTAGATGGAGTGGAAATCCTCTCTCTTGTGAATAGAATAAAGTCACCTAAGAAATTCATGTTGTCCCAGATCAGATGATTGTAGCTAATTTTTACTTGAATTTTTTTTTATGAATTTAAAAATATAAATAAATTACTACATAAATTCAGATCATATAATAAAATTGAAAAGATCAGATTTTTTTTTTCTGAAAAATAAAAGTGGTCTGGTGTAAATACTATAATAATGGATCCTCTCTGACTGTTTAATGTTCTGACTTGAACAATAAAATAAAATGTTGAAGCAGAATCTATCATTATTTTGCTTGTAATAAAGCAATAGATGAGGGGATATTGCATAGAATACAAAACCCAAGAAATTTGACTCTATTTAATAAAATATGGATCCTCTCGTCTCAATAAAAAAACAGAAGAAAGTAAATATTATTATTGTTTTATTTAATTTTAAAAAATGGATGTTTTTAAAATTAAGGTTTACTAGATTCGGAAAGATTGGGTAATAAAACAAGTGCAAAGTTGTAGATGCCGACCTCACATTTTCGTTGTTTTAATATTCTGCAGAATAATTACTTCCTCCTCACACAACCATTACGACAAATTTATCATTTTTTTTCTCTTCAATTATTTAAATTTCTGCTTTCTATTTCAAAGATGCAGAATTTGATCATTTTAAGGTTTTTGTCTTCTTTCTTTCTTACTCAAAATTCATCAATTGGACATCAAATTTTATCTAAATTTTAAAAAATACATGTTTGTGACATTGAACATGGGTTCGTAAAGACATTATTTTTAATCCAAAATTTAAAAGAAAATATGTAAATCTTTTTCGTTTATATTATATTTAATTTGTTAACTGTAAAGAATGTGAGACATTAATTAAAATTTTAACATAAATATCACAGATGCTTTAATTACTTGGGTTGAAAATGGGAATTGTTATAAAAAATGAAAACTTATTTGCACTGAATCCTTGAATACGAACAACCGAACACAGAACAGAATACGTTAATAACAAGTGAGACAACAAAGAAGTGATACATATGATAAGACACATTCTGTTGTGTTTTGTTGGAGTTCAGCATCAGCAAATCTGCGTCATTTCTTACTTACTTCACTTGTTAATTACATTTGACAAGTTCATCAACGTTAGACTCTGATTTTAAGGTATTTTAAATTAAACGGGAGAAGATAAAGTATGATGGAAGATGGTTGCAAACAAACATGAATAGGTTTGAGTTGACGTAATTATTTGTGCACCTGGAAGAGAGAATAGGTAATGACAGAAACACGGTGTTGCAGAAGATAAAAGGAAGATAAGAAGGTGTGACCCGAAACCCGACAGATATGAGTTGTGTGGATCTAAGACCAAAGAGATCCCATGTGTTCCAAAATCCCCATGGATCCGGAAAAGATCCGTTGCTCCATGGGTCAACGCCTTCACATATCATTCTTCTTATTATATATTACTTCTCTTACCATTATTATAATTATTCTACGTATTCTCCACTAATGCATGTCCATTCTTATCATGCATTCACATTCACACAGATGCATGTGCTTGACCTAAAATAATCTTCATCATTTTACCTCGCACTCAACTCAAATATTTCTCAACTAACCACAAAACGAACGCACGAGTATAAGGATTGGTGTTTATTTAAATATGAAATGGATGGACATGCCTGGCATAAAGTTTAGGCTATGGAAGACTCTTCCATGTAATGTACGAAGATTAATCCTGCAATGTGAAGCAACAACCTTCAGGATCTCAAAACGAATATTAGTCTGACCCTGTACCTCGTAGGATCAAACAATATTTCCATGAAGAACAAACAAAAAACTTATTCATTTTTTGAACGAGAGACAAAAACAAAGTGCATGCAGTTGTTTCCAATTTGAGGGGGATGACATGGGAAATTTAAAGATGACTTGTTTTTAAGATTGAGAGGATAATATAACACCACTGATTCCAGATGGAAAAGTTTTGTTGCATTGTTCTTTATGTTTTTCAGAAGAATTATTGTTATTTTTATAGCAATATATATAAAGAAAGAATTTGATTTTCCTGAAACTGGGAATTTTAGTTGAGCATATTCCATGCATGCGTTGGAAATGCTATCTGGCAGTCTGGCACATACAAACAAAAAAGATGATATTATGATTTGGGTTGCACTACTTAATTACTTTTCTTCCATTTTCACAAAGCCTTCAACCACAAGAATCAAATGCAGTATCACTACATAAATCAAAATCAACAACTCACTTAATAACTATCTTAATCATTGTCAGAAATCTAATATATATTAATTAACATATTTAAAAAATAATAAACTATAGCGTCAGTAGTCCAACGGTAAGGATAATTGCCTTCCAAGCAATAGATCCGGGTTCGACTCCCGGCTGACGCAAGTAGTTAATTTTATTTTTGTTAAACAAATATGATTTTTTTTTCCTAACTACCTTTATTATACATTAACTATATTCCCTGGTCGACTCATTATCACAATCATATGCTTTATTATAAAAGATGTTTATGATTACTATGCCATTTCCCTTCTTTTTTCCAAGCAATGTTGTATCTTAGAGTATAAAACATAAAAATATGGTAGAATACAGGTTTTTGTGGTTATTCTTTTCAAGAGGAGGACCATTAATGTCTTCCAACCAATTCCTCACGAAGTTGACTTATCACAATCATAAACGTAATAGATGTGTATATATGGGTTATTAAAATAGATGGATCTTATAAATAATGTGACAGGTAAGGTGAGAAGCAGAACAGAAAGAATAAAAAAAGAGCTGGGATCCTATGTACATGGACATGGTGTACAAGTTGGAAAGTTGAAGTAAAGATAGAAGGGGAGACACAATCAACATGGGAAATATGAGAAATGGTAGTGAAGTACATGGCTCTGTCCCAACTCTCTCAATCATTTATGGTTGCGTTTATTATCATGACAAACCCTACCTAGTTGGGCTTATAAGATTACCTGCTTTTTACAAGAGCAACTTCACCTCATTTCTGGGTCATCATGTACGGGCAAAATCTATGTTTCTAAATTTGAATTGACTATTGAATCCGTAAAAGTTTTGATTTTTAATGGTTGTTCTGTGTGGTTCAATTGATGATAATTATGTAATTTTTTGTAATTAAAAATGTTATATGTTAAATGATATTAATTAAACAAAAATATGTATTATATTCATAATTTTATGGTATTAAAGGTTAAAATAACACATATCGTCACTCATGACATGTAACATGACAGATAGCATACATGGTAGAGGTAAAAGTGAAGGCAATATATACTTCATTTACCAATTTAAATGGAAAGTTTTCTTAATGTGTTTCTTCAGAGTGAGGAAAATATAGTTTTTTTTTTTAAGTATTTGTTTATATTTGAAGGCTTTTCTCATTTTAGACTGAACTATATGGTCCTTTTTACCTTAAAACTATTAACAAAAATGGTGAAAGTCATGAGAGTATAAAATACGGGTCCTTTCCTTCCTACCTAGCCTACATTTTTGCCCAAGGCCCAGATGCAGGCAGGTTTCAAAAATCCATTCCCAAGTCCATCAAAAGTCTTTTTTTTTTTTTTTTTCTGATTAGCCTCAAGGCTTTGCCTTCATCTCTCTTTCATTTCTTCTGGTGTTTGTTGATTTGCCTTCATGATTCATATTTCTCAACGTCTATGATCTTTTCTCCTCCTGTATAACGTGATTTGTATACTTACACCCTGTTGGTAGAGATTGTGCCCTTCTAAGTCCTTATCGATGTCATTGTTAGTTCCAAGTATTCAACATGAAGTTAGTAATCACAACTCGGGATTTTGTTATGATACTGCCAAGTGCCAGCGAATGTGATCTTCATCTTGGCCACCACCACCTGCATGACCATATGGATATGTCAGAATTGATTTAGTACAATGCTCACATGCATACATACATTATATATATATATATATATATATATATATATATATATATATATGTTTTTCACTTGCAGTGATTGTTCTCAGTTTCCCCTAGTTTTACTAATGTAAAAGCCAGAATGTAATGACTGCCCTTCATTGCAACTTTAGTCTGTATCATTTAATTGTTATAAAGGCTGGTATGTTTCAGACATATATCTGTTTTAGTTGGGTTCAGATATTTTTTAAGCACTGCATAGTCGTAATTCACCATAAAATCTTGATTATAATTTGGCTATAAGCCTTTCTTAATTTGAATTGAGAGAATTTTAATTAAAAATTAAAACCAACATGTCATATTTGAGGAAGCGAGATATAATACGTCGAAAACTATCATTTTGGTTGTATTTGAGAGAAGTGATAAATTTTGAATGACGTCGTTTTAGTTAGTTGCATTTGTTTCGTGTTTTTGTTGATTAATCGGGCCATCTTTGACCCGTCTTCACACAACCAAACAGAAGAACATGTAATTTCTGAATTGCTTGTAGAACCACAAACAACGTGTAGAGATCACAGTTGTTTGCATCTTTGGGCAAGCAATAGCAAACAACAGAATTTTAATTTTTAGGTAAATATTTTGTAAATAGATGGTGTGCCGTGATTCTATTGATTCCATAGAATAATACTTATCAAATCTTTCAATTCCATAAGGTGATAAGATATTACTTACGGTTTGATCAACCATCTAAGATAAATGAATCAGAGGGTGGATTAAGATAGATGCACACGATGGTGTGCACATGCCATCTCCAGCAACATTCAGTAAGATGTACAAGAATTTCTTACATTTGATTAGCGAGGAACAATTATATCTCCCTTATTCAACACATTAACAGCTGAATTTCTTACATATATGTACACAAATTTTACAGCTTAGGATAGTGATTGGAGATTGTTTCATGCTTTTGACAGTGGAATCTTATGAACCTGGGTCCTGAATTAGACAATTTTTAATATGCTAATCCACCAGAAAATGTATCAGTGTCGTGAAGCAGAGATTCCGTCAACCAGTAACCATCCCAGCATCCACCAACCCTCTGCCAGCGACAAACAAACATCAGATACATACATAGTTCAGCTAATTAAATTAAATTAAATCAGATAATAACAGGGAACTAGTAATACATAATAGATTTGTGAAATCAATAATTCAAATATCTATCATTGAATTGAGAAAAGTACAATCAAAATTAGATATTCTGCAGTAATCCGCAGTTTACAAACTGCCATAACTACGTATTGTTATTACATATTTTCCAAACAAAAATTAACAATAATTTCTGCAAACAAACTGAACCGTAATTCCCTGACAAATATGACTATGATGATGTAGTAGAAGAAATCATGATCAAACCTGAACCATTGTAAATTGAAATATCTCCTCTTCCTCCGGTCGACTTCCACGAATCCAAACCCGCTGCTTGTATTTGTTCTGTTTGAAATTCATCATCCCATAACTTCAATTTGTTTAGATAATATAGAAAAAAAAAAAAAAAAAACTGAACATAAAAAATGAACAAAAATAAATAAATTCTACCTCCTCGACAAACAAAGTGCTCATGATCTTTCTCTCCCTGTGACCTAGCAATACTCGATAAGTAGAATGGTGAAAAATACGCCTAAACCTTTCAAACTGCACATGCAGAGGTGTATCACTGTTCAGCATCAATTTCAACGTACAATTATTTCAATAATTAGTGGACTTTAACTAACAGAAGTTCTACGAAGTGAACAAATAAAAATTACCATTAATATGACTTCACTGTAGAAGTTAGTAAACTTCCTATATACAGGTGATAGTTTAGTTTGTGATTAAATGACACCAATTAAAAGAACATAAATTTCATCATAACGAACCTGGCCCAAATCAAAGAATGGCCCAAAATAGGTAGATCTTTCGAAAGGATCAAATCCAGCGAACCTGTACATAACCTCGATTCCATAGTCTTGACGAGGTTGATCATTGTGCTTCAAGGCTTCGAGCTGGTTATGCACCGCATCCTCTGCACTAAACTATACTAAACATTGATTTAACAGAAACAGAACAAAGAAAAAGGAAAGAGAGGAGGGGAAGTGGTGGATAGTGATTAGTACATCTAATCGTGGCCCAAAGGGTTTTTTCTTGCGAGATTTGAACCTGCAGGCGGTGTTGGAATTGGAGTATTGGAGAATAAAATGGAATTGGATGAATATATAAAAGGAAGTAAGGAAGAATAGGTACCAATCCTCGGAAAGGAAATCGGGAACTTGGGCAGCGGCTTTGAAGCGAGAGGTTCCGTTGTTGTTGAACAAGAATCGAACGCTATGCGGCTGAGATAAGAGAGAGGATCCAAACGACATCGTCCAAGACTCTGATACGAAAGGGAAGGAGAAGAAGAAGAAATTTGAAGATTGGGACGAACGTTTTCTCTTCAATTTCTGAACACGACGTCTATGGTCTGTCTTCGTCCATGCACACGCTGCTTTGATTTTTTTTTTTTTTAGAAATATATAATGTTATTAAATTAAATAAATTATATGTTCATTGCTATGTATCAATAATTTTATTTAATAAAAAAAATAGAAGCTAGAGACAACTTTTTAAAAGGTTTGGTAGTTAAATAGGTTAGGCCATAAACTTTTAGAATTGACGTGCTGGTACATTTACGAATAATAAATAATATTATAATATATAATGTATAATATTATAATTTTTTTAATGAAATTACAAAAGAAATTTATCTCGCACGTTTGCAAAATGTATAGAGACAATTTATTTTCTGGCCTTTAGGTGAGAGTGAAGAATAACACGCTGAGCCAACGCCAAAATTGTTGATTAAATACGCGGGGAGTAGAGAATCATTCACACAACCTAATCATCAGGAATGTTTTCATTTTTCAAATTGGTTTATGCATAACAAGCAATCATTAATTACTCACAAGTTCCTCATAAGGTTTGCATTTCGAAGAGAAAGAACATGTTCATGCATCTCTTTTCTCATTGTTACGTTTACACTGGGCAGAGGAAACTGTAATCCCCTACCATTTTTTCTTGGTCCCGTTTCCACCCCATCTCTTAAAACCTTAAAAAGATTTCAGAATCAAATTCAAAACCTCCAATTGTCAGATCAAAGCTTCCTAAACCTAAATATGTGAAGCTAAGCTACCACTATCTCATCACCCATGAAATTTTCCTTACCCAGGGAGGAGGACTCCACAAGGAGGGTTGGTGCTTCTTTGTCAAAGGATCTTTTGGTTGCTGGGGATGCTTTAAAGACCAGCATCACCACTCTGGCTCCTATTGTGTTGCCAATGTCTGAACAGTTGGTCTTTTCTGCCACCTTGGTTGTAAACAAACTCTTATATACCTGATTTTAAGTTGGGAGAAGAGTTGTGCTGGATGTACTGTTGAAGAACCTTCAACTAACATGGAACGACCCTTTATAGGTTTGGCAACTTTCCTGCGTATGGTGTTTCCATTATTAGAAAGAAAGTTTTCAAGGTTTATCATTTAGTTCGTGGCCTTATGTCCATGGTTTGAAGATAAGAACAGTATTCTTGAGTCACTAATACCTGTCTCCAATTTAGACAACATCAAATTCCATGATTCAGACTGTATCTACCCCCCATTTGGGTTCGCATAATGAATCTGGTCGTTGGTTCATTTTAATTTTCACTTGTATCCCATTATCAATGGATTCGCAAAACCCATTGAGTGATGCCTGTTTCGGATAACCTAAGAAATACTAATCAACTGTACCAAAACATAATTTTTTCTTGTGTTAAATAGTTTCTATATCTCTCCCCAACCTTGAATTTAGTTCCGGCAAAGAGTGACTGGAAACAACTGAAACCACCAAGGATTTGCCAAATTTTGCATGAACCAAGCAGCCCAAAACAAAATAGACAATAAATTGAACTTGATAATTAACCATGCTCTAACAACATAGAAAGCTAGTATCAGTACAGAAGCCTTCGCCAGTCAATACTGGTCAAGTATATTGTAGCGTGATGCTCTACCATGTAGTTTGCAGTACCATAGCACAGAAGCCATTATGTCAGTCAATACAGGTTAAAAAAGATATCAGAATTGTCGCAGAATGTTCTACCAAACTAACACAACAAAAAATTATCTACAAGGTAAAATGACACCAAATTTACAGTAAAAACTCGTCTTGAAGGTTAATTTGAATATTTTCCTTTTAGCTCTCACTCCTTAGAGGATTTGTTGATGAGAGACTTGTGGATATGAGGAATAACGCCACCACCAGCAATTGTTCCTTTAATGAGGGTGTCAAGTTCTTCATCTTCTCGGATAGCGAGCTGTAAATGTCTAGGTGTAATACGCTTTACCTTCAGATCCTTGCTTGCATTGCCAGCCAACTCCAACACCTCTGCAGTTAAATACTCCAGGATAGCAGCGGAATACACTGCAGCCGTGGCCCCAACTCTTCCATTGGCATTCACCCTTGACTTCAAAAGTCAGTGAATGCGTCCAACCGGAAACTGTATCAAAACATACACTAGAGGTCATGAAAAGTGTCAGCTATTATACTAACAATAACAAGCCTTAAAACACAAACTGAAGTTCATCATCATGATTTGAACCAATACTCCATAAATTGCTCCATATATAAGGTCTGGACATAACAATTACATCATTCCGTGAACAAAAGAAACACAACGGATCAATTACAGGCAAACGGCCCTTGAGCCTGTAGCTCATCTTAAAAGACTTGGATGTGATGATAGGTTTGATCATTCCATAAGGACACCTATAATTCTCTTTGTCTACCCAGTTGCTTTCACATTCAATTTAATAAATTAAAAACAAAGTCAATTACTTGCAACTTTAATTGTGATTGCTCAACTTGTTGAGGATAAAAGGAAAACACAGACTTTGGCAAGTTAGAGGCTAATAGCTTGTTTTTTATGTCCATTTGTTGGCATAAAGATCATGTTTGTAGAAAAGTGATTCTGCTAAAACAATTATGTTTAGTTGTATCTCATCAAACGAGTCATTCTGCTCCTGCAAGTCCCTTAAACAAAATGAACTTTGCAATAGTTTGAAAATTGTATACCAAGTTTCATTACCAATTTTCAAGAGATTAAAGCTATCGAACATAAGTCATTTCACTTCAAATCTCCTTATTAACTGAAATCAATTTCATAACATCAAGATCATCCAAAACTAAATTTGCAACAACACTCAACGAAACACACTAATTACTCACGGGTCATGTGTAACATATCACATCATCACCCTCTAAAGTCAACTTTTCAAAGTTCAACAAGATTACTGTTGTTACTGTGTGTTTGGTTGAGATGTAAGTGTCAAGAGAAGAAAGAAAACGAAAGATATGGTAAGAGAGGGGAGTTTTCGTTGAGTTCAAATGGAGCAATGTAAGAGGAGAGCGAGGTGGGTGGGGATGATGGATATTGTCTCCGCATAATACTGGTGAGAAAGGAAGAGAAAGCTGATCTGGCATTTTTGCACTTGCAGACTATCCTTGCTCTTTTCTCCACTGTGGGTCTGTGTTTTGAGATCCAGTTATCCCTGTAGAAACCCTGAAGAGGGTGACTCCAACTGCATCAATGTAATCAATTATGCATCCACAATGAAATGTATCACGTACATGGAGAGATGAGATGAATGACATGTACTCCATTAGAGTTTTTTATTTATAATAAAAAACAAAGAGAGGACTACAAACTTACTTTAGAGTGGAGTGGAGTGGTTGGGTTTTTGTGATAGTATTAAGTTGCTAACTTAACCACACCACAGGCCACTTACAGTAAGGGGAACTGGTCAGAGCAAAAGAAAACTCTGAAACTTTGAAGAACAATGAGATGGGAGAAAGTGAGACAAAGAAAAGGAGGAGAGTGGGATTGGATAAGGGAGACAAGACAGACAAGGATCTGGAGGCATTTGTAGTGGCTTTTATTTTATTTTATTGTTGCATCTCTTTAATTTATTAAAGGATTCTCACATCATACTTACAAATTTTTTTTGGCAAAAGTTTAAAATACATCAAGGACAATAACGTAATTCACTAATAAGTATCAAGTTCCTTTCTTTTATTTTCTTCTAAAGCATGTACATATATACTTATATTCTTTTCACTCTTTTATTTTCTTCTTTTTCCGACCTTGTTTTCTCTGTTCACTTTCTTTCACTTAAATAAAATAATTTTATTTTCCACCTATTTCCCTTCTTCACCCACAGATTCTTTCCAACCAAAGAAAGCATTAATTTGTTGTAAACGAACACTCTGATGCTCACATCTATATGCATATTTAGAAGGAATATTTGAGGTAGGTGACTTGTATTTTTTAGGAAGAAGATATGAGAAAAAATATTGTTATTTTTTTCATCTGAATAAAAAAGGTATTACTTTAAAAGGAATTATCAAAAAGGGACTCAGGAATAAAGAAAAAAACATCAGTGCAGACTGCAACCTTGCACGTGTGGAACACATGCAATCTGTAAGCAATGATCATAACTGGAAAGCCAGGAAACAAAAGAAAGATAGAAATTGGATTTAATGAAAACTGAAACCGAACGGAGTCCAAAGTTTACAAGCGATGTACCATAAAACAGGCATAGTTATTTCATAACTATAGCACAAGAAAAAAGACAGGAGGTGAGTGACTGTTGAGAAATCAAATAAATCCCCAGAATGAGTTATTCCGATCATGGTGATAAGAAGATCCGAGAGTCCCAAAGTGAAGAGACCGCACCTTGTATAAGCTAAGGCATCGAACCAAATCAGTCTCAAATATAGAATTAAAATATCGAGCAATCGCATATAATATAGTTATTTATTCTATTTCTCAGAAGAAGAAAAAATGAAAACTAGAAACAGAAGGTAAATGAAGAATGTGGGGGAAAATAAAATAGAGAAACCTGAAGACCGGCTGTAGAAGAACGAGAAACGGGTTTCTTCTTGTTATCCTTGTCCTTGTCTTTGGTTGAGGCAGGGGTTTTACCCGTTATCAATCTCTTAGCCCCTTTTCCTGACATAATAATCGAATTCGATTAAGCTTACACACACCAAACCCTCGTCTTCCTTTCACAATTCCACGATGAGTGGGACTTACAGTGCTAGTGAGAGCCTTGCGACTCTGCGAATTTCAATATTGTCCTAAATTACCCTTCGCACACAAGTTACTTAATTACCACAAACCTTGCTTACTCAACTCAATTACAACGTTAGATAAAATGGATTTAGATTGTCACCGATGGGAATACATATAAATCGAAATTTACCGATGTTCATAAATACAATAAAAATATTGAGTCACTCAAATTTATAGACAAACATATAGAGGAACAAAGGATAATGAATACTGAATCCTCTCATGATTAGGATTTCTGGAATTATTCATAAAGTTCTAACTAGAGTAAAAAGATAGATGACTACAAATATATTTTAGTCTTATTAACGTTGTGGAAGGTGATCGTAAGAATAATTTTGTTCAAGAAACACTTGTTTTGAAGCATCAATCAAATGTTGCTGTCATGACACTTCCTCTTTTAGAACAAATTTTTCGTAAGGAATGAGTCCCATACAATGTATAAGGAGGTTTATGTTTTTTTAATCCACAAGGTTGAATTTTCCTCCTAAGTTGTCAAGGTTGATTTTACCTCCTAAGTCATACAAACATTTTGAAAAATGTTTTAACGTTGTCACAATCAGTTAGAGCAACTAAAATAGCTCTCACATTTGTTGTTGTAGCAAGCATTTTATATGAATTTAAATTTATTAATCATCAAAACAAAATTGTAAAGGTTGATTATCTATTTTTTTTTCTCCTTGCATGAATTAACATACACTAATCATGTATTGAAATAGATCCTCTGATTTTACACCATATATTATTAATATGGGAAAATATGAATTTAATTTTCTAATAAATAGTGATAATGCAAGTTATGAATAAGATTTGTGTGATTTGACTAGTTACGTGCGTAATGTCGACCATATTTAACTCTAATAATAACATCATTGTTTGCGTTGCTTGTAAATTGGTGCTAATTGTACTAGGTTAACGTATGTTGATTTTTTTATATTTATTTATTTATTTTAATTTGCCTTCAAAGTTAACATTCTTTTGGTCGGTCAAATTCTAAACAACATAAATAAATTTATGGACACGAGTTCTTAGCTTCTAAGATATAAAAAAAATGTTGGCAAAAAATTTACTAAAACTGATGCTTACATCTATTTAATGATAACTTCATAAATTTAAATTGAATTTAGAAATTGATTTCTAAGACATCAAAAAATACAAAAAACTGAAATTTATTACTTACTTTATTTAACATGTTCACTTAGTTTTGTTTGAGTGTAGTTTAAGATTATTTTAGAGAAAATAGGAAAAAGTTAAAATAATAAAATTTTGTCAAAATTTTTTACACAATTCCTTTTTATTTTACCCATCATATTATATAGGTGTTTATATAATTATTTTTAACTATTTTTTATTTATAATTATAATTTTATAATTAATATTTTGATATTTAATTTATATAAATAACTTTTTAAAATATGGGTATACAGAAACAATAATACATGTATATTTTTTATTTTATTTTTATTTTTACATAATAATAATAATAATAATAATAATAATAATAATAGTTTATATATATATATATATATAATTTAGATAAAAAAAACAAATTAATAATTAAAAGTTTAAATATTTAAAAAAATTTGTTTAGAAATAAAAATAAATATTTTATTATAAATATCAAGTGAAAAAATTATTTAAAATTAAAAATTTATTTATATAAATAATTGTAAACAAATTTTAAATAACTTATATATAAAATTTATAATAAAATATTTAATTTTATTTCTAAATCATATTTATTTATATATTAACTAACTGTTTTTATTCTGACTCAATCTGAAATTTTCAGCTTTGAATTACCCAAAATAATTTATAATTGGATTACCCAACCTAAAAATCTTCTAAAAATTGAATAGTTAAAATAGAAAGAAACTCGACGTTTGATGAAGAACAAATAGCACGCAGAATTCAACCGATACTAAACATTATTAAAATATAAATGCAAGTTCATCTGCATAATATATTCAGTAACAATCATTACAGAGACTAATTTTCAGAGTAACGAACATGCAGGCTCTTCACTCCCTCTGCAGACTGTCATCCGAACAACTATAGTTCCCGTTTTCAAACCCTGCAATACCAAGAAAGATTATTTTCACGCCACATCGATCAAACCAATAAAAACTCAGCTATTCATCAGAGATATTGGTCAAAGATATTCTAGAATTATAGTAATATTTTGTCTGTAGGCAAGAGAAGTCATAACATAAGCACTCAACATTTGATTTTCAACGTCTAACCTTTATACGTAGGCAAAAAGGACATCATGAAACAAAAAGAAACAATAAATTAACCATGATAAGGCAAAATAGAACTTACTGCTGGTATTCTATGTTGATGAACGATGCAGAAGCGTTGGCGATGGCCTGGAAGGCCTTGGAAGAGAGGACCAAGGTAGTTCCCCGTAGGGAAGGCCTAGAAACCGATGATTGCGCTCGATCAACGATCTTGATCTCAACCATCTGCCCAGGAATGCAAGTTTTAGGAACCGCAGCGCTGATGCACCGCACCTTATACTGTCTCCCACATGCGGCACCATTGTCCCATAAACCCTCCCCCGCCGCACCAAACAGGTTACTTGACGGAAACTGTGACACGTCTCTACCGAAACATGCAGTGGCTGCAGTGTCATCACAAAGCGTATATAGATATCAAAGTTTCAAATGAAAGTTTAAACATTTTGTGTTGTATTTGTATATAAACTTACGCAAGTAGGGAGGGCCATATCGGGCAGCATTCCCAACGTCAGCTAGAGAGTAGTGGATGAAGAGAGTGGAGAAGAGGAGGGCGGAGAGGATAAGGCGATGGGAGGAGTTGGAAGGATGAAGCTTAGCCATTGCTGCTGCATCAGAAGATTAAGGAATGCACTGAGTTTTAGGCCAAGTTGTTGAATAAATTATGATTAGGGTTACAAAGTCAGCACAATGGCGTCAACCTTTGCATTAATTTCACTCTTAGTTTTTTTTTTTTAATTTCAAGAAAATTCCACAAGCTATATATAATATTGGTTTAAAGAGTATTAATATTAATTATTATATCTCCATTTTTATTTAAGAAAAAAGAAGCATCTTTCCAAGAAAGACAAAGGGAATGCATTCAATATATATGTCTACTTTTACAGATAAAGAAACCCATCAGATCTCATGAATTTTAATAAATTCCAATAATAAAAGAATGTCCAAGAAAATTTACTCTTGTCAAGGTCTCCTCGGTAATTAATAAAGAGAATAAAAGAAATAGAAATGAAATAAAGTGATTTGAGAGAAAAAGACATAAAAATATAAAGAAGCGTTTATTTAAAAAAATAATAATTAAATTAAAATTAAATATTTATTTAATTACAGAATTATTTATATAATTTTTATTTATTTTTTTACCTTAAATAAGATATATTTTAATACATAATTATAAATTTTCTATTATAGAATTATAATTTTGTAAAAAATATTTGAGTTTAAATTAATAAAATAATACCATATTATAAAAATAAAATAAATAAATAATTTAATTTTTATAATAACATATATATTTGTGATATTTTATTAAAATAATAATCAATATTTAATATATATATATATATTATAATAAAATTATAAATATAAAAAATATATTTAAAATATAATATTTTTATAAAATAATATTTTTTTGATATTTTTTATTTATATGTGAGTGAAAAAAAATAATACAAAATGACATATTAAGATTTCAAGTCCGTTGATTCCTAAGACATTTCTCGAATTTGAAACTAAATATTTGGTCACTTTGGAAAACACATTTATTAGAAATTTAAAGTTGAGTGTGAATTTGAGAAGACAGTGGATTCCGCATTAATTGTATGATCTGACGTAATTAAATGCTTTTTCTAGTAAAATAGAGGTTCAAATTTGTCCAACCAAATAAAATCACACCAATTCTTGCCCTTTCTTTTGAAGTGATATAAATCTAATGTCACCATTAGATCAATTTGAGTTTTTCAAACTTTATTAGTATCTATCCGCCTCACAATTATTCTAATTTCATTTACTAAAAAACAATCCAAATTAACTTATCTTTTCATTTTCCAATAAAATAATTTTTTCTAATATATCCTAAAGAAACTACTATGTTTTAGTAAAACATTAAACTACATATAGTAGAAACAGGGGAATATTAAATTTGGCTAAAATAAACTTTGCAAATGCAGGTTAAGAGCAGAAGAAAAATTGGAGTCTTGAAACATATAAATATGCATGTGGATTGTTAGAAACCCTAGAACAGGCTTTGCCGACTCAGTGGTTTCTTTAATTTCATTCTCAAACATTTGTGATTGTAAGCTGTGAATAAACCATCGCCTTATGGAAGCATTTATTATGTCGCTTTGTCACATTTTGAATCAACGTTTTGCCGTTTTTCTTTTCTTTAATATATATATATATATATATATATATATATATATATATATATATATATATATATATATATATATATATATATATATATATATATATATACACACGGTGGCTCTCAGATGCCGGCCACCGCAGTAAATTGGTGGATAGGAATAAGAATGAAAATGACCTCAATCAAATATAGTAAGGTTTGCCGTGTAGTTTAATTTGATTTGATTTGGTTTTTATTTTTAAATGAATTTCACCCAAATTAATTTAATATTTTATAATTTGATTTTAAATAGTATATATTATAATTTTGATTAAATTTAAATTAATTACAATTTAAATTGATAGATTTATAAAAAAAAAAACTAATTTTAAAAATTTTAAAAAAATGATTTTGATGTGTTTTCGATTTTGTTACTAGATTTCAATATTATTTTTGAATTGATTCTGTTTTTATCACCAAACAAGAATATTTAGATATTAAATAGTGTAGTTGGTGAGGAAGATGATGAGTAACTGATATGGTAAAGCAATAATGACCGTATTTATCACCATTAATTGATGTTCTTCAATGCCACTGAAAAGATGGTGGTTATTTATCGTTTTCATAATGATGTAAAATATTTGTATGCGTGCCTAACGATGTAAAATATTTGTATGTGTGTCTTAACTTTTGGAGGAATGTATGTCCAAATGTTTTGAGATAATGATGTATCTTTACGAAGAGAGGTAAGTCCGAAGACAGAGACTAGGTTAATTTTATTATTAAAAATTATTTTAATATATTGAAAAAAAGATGTATTTTAATTATTTATAGTTTTAATTTTTAAGTGATATAATATTTATGGTAGAAGAATACATAATATGTTTTTGGTACAATTATATTTATGATATTTTATTAAAACAGCTTTAAAAATAACATTATAATAAATTAAAATTTTAAAATAGATAATATATTATATAATGATTAATATTAACTATCATAATAAATATGATATTAATTAACATAATTCTTAAACCAAATAATATATCTATAATATAATTTACAATCATTAATATTTTAATAATAAAATAAAAATTAATATTAATATATAATATAAATAAATATATTTATCAATTTAAAATTTATATTTTTGAGATGAAATTTGCATCACTATCATAGTTTGTAACAAATATTTTCGTGTATTAAAAAAATACATCAAATATCTTATTTCAGTTAAAAAATTAGATATAAAATTATAAATTAAATTGAATTATATATTTATTATTTCACCTATTTAGTTTGTATTTTAAATAAGTTTAAGTTAAGTTATATGTATTCTAATTTATATATTAAGTTATTATATTTAAAATTAATTTTTTTTTATTAATATGATTTAAAATTTTTAAAAATGTATTTAATTTATATTTTATTTTCAAAGAAATCAAAATAATATACTATTACGTTTATTTTAATTTAAGATTGTTTAAAAATTATGTATGATACACTAGTGGAAAAATAGCTTTCTATGACGGGTTTTTATCACGGTCGTAATCCACCCGTCATAGTATGTGGCGCGGTGGCAATTTTGTAATAAAATCATAAACTTTCTATGTCGGGTAAGTTTTAACCGACATAGTAAGTAGAAAGGTCACTTTCTACGTCGGTTAAAATTTACCCGACATAGAAAGTTAACTTTCTATGTCGGGTAACATTTACCCGACGTAGAAAATGAACTTTCTATGTCGGGTAAATTTTAACCGACGTAGAAAGTGTCTTTGATGACGGGTGTTAGGGCAACCGACATAGTATCTTCTGTTTTGCCCGCGCTCCATTTCATTTCATCACTTCCCCCACTCCATTTCATTTCATCACTTCCCCCATAGCAGAGCTCCCCGTACGTTTCTCCCTACGCTCCATTTCCTTTCATCAGTTCACCCATACCGGAGCTCCCCGTTCGCTTGTATACGTTTCTCCGCACCCACATTTGCTCGTCACGCCACCCGCCAACGCTTCGTGCCGCCTGCTGCTACCGGTGCCCGTCGCCTTGGATACGTTTCTCCCCACCCAGCTTCGCACGTCACGCCACCTGCCACCTCCGTAGGTCTTCAAGTGGTAAGTTTTCGTGCTTGCTTTAGCCAATGTAGGTTTACGAGTATTGAATCTAGTAAGTAATAATGCTTGTCAAGAGAGGGAAACATCACGGGTGCCTTTAGCTAATTTAGAGATGTATTGTAAGTAGTTTAGTCATTTGAATGTGTTTCTGTCGGCATTATTTCGTGATTTTGATTTTGAACATTAGATTTGTATTATAATGTAGTTATTTTGAGAGTGGAGTTGGATTTCGTGTAGGCATTATAATGTAGTTATTTCGTGTTTACGTAGCTAATTTGATTTTGAAAATTAGATTTGTAACAATGGATCGGAGTTGGATCAATTACGGATCGAACAACAAATGAATATGAGAGTGGAGTAGAACAATTCCTTGAATTTGCTAAGATGAATGTTCGGATAATGATGGAAGATTCTATTGCCCTTGTGTTAACTCGCTTGAATGAGCGAAGATTACCGACTCGAAGTTATTCGGGAACATGTTCTTTGTGATGGTTTCCTAAAGAGTTACATAAAGTGGACATGGCATGGTGAATTATTAAACATGCCAAGTGTAGAAGACAAAGAAGAAGTTGATCTAGAGATGGATGATCGAGCTGGAGGAAATGATTCGTGAGCTTGGACAAGATGCCTTCCAACACACACATGTGTACGAGAAGTTGTCCAATGATGCAAAAGAGCCTTTGTATACAAATTGTACTAAGTTCACACGATTGTCGGCGGTACTAAAATTGTTCAATGTGAAGGCAAAGAATGGGTGGATCGATAAAAGTTTCACAGAATTGCTTGAGTTGTTGAGTGACATGCTCCTCGAAGGTAACACATTGCCAACCTGCAATTATGATGCTAAGAAGATATTGTGTCCAATGGGTATGGAGTACCAAAAAATTCATGCATGTCCGAATGATTGTGTGTTGTACAGGAAAGAATTTGAGAAGCTGTCACGAATGTCCACAATGCGGGGAATCACGATACAAGAAGAAGGATGGTGATTCCGACAATGATGTTATGAAGGGTACCCGGCAAAAGTGTTATGGTATCTTCCCATTGTTCCAAGGTTGAAACGATTGTTCACTAATGGAAATGATGCAAAGCTCACTAGATGGCATGCGAGATAGTCGTATTAAAGATGGTCGGTTGAGGCATCCGAGAGATGGATTGCAATGGAAAAAATTGATTCCATCTTCCAGAATTTTGGTAATGATCCAAGAAACATTAGGTTTGGACTTGCTACGAGATGGAATGAATCCATATGGAAATTTAAGTAGTAAACATAGTTCATGGCCTGTGGTGTTAGTTATTTACAACTTACCTCCGTGGTTGTGTATGAAACGTAAGTACTTGATGCTATCTTTGATGATCTCGGGTCCCGGACAACCTGAAAATGACATTGATGTTTTTTTAAGCCCATTGGTTGAAGAGTTGAAGATGTTGTGGGAGGAAGGTGTTGATGTGTTTGATGGGTACACAGGTGACTTATTCAAGTTGCGTGCAATGTTATTTTGTACAATTAATGACTTTCCAGGCATATGGTAATTTGAGTGGCTACAGCACAAAGGGACATAAAGCTTGCCCGATATGTGAAGAAGACACATGTCACTATCAACTACAACATGGAAGGAAAACGAGTGTACCTTGGACACCGAAGATTTCTTCCTTCAAACCATTCATATCGTAAATTAAAAAAATCATTTAACGGGTGTGAAGAAAATGATGCAGCTCCAACACCTTTAAGTGGGGAAGAAGTATATCAACGAGTAAGTGCAATTTTGTGTGAGTTTGGAAAGACGCAAAAGAAAGCCACAGGTATATGGAAGAAAATGTCAATCCTTTTTGTTCTTCCATATTGGAGGGTTCTTGATGTGAGGCATTGTATAGATGTCATGCATGTAGAGAAAAATGTGTGTGACAAGTATCATCGGAACGCTCCTTAACATTCAAGGAAAAACAAAAGATGGTGTCAATGCTCGTTTGGACATGGTTGAAATGGGTATAAGAGAACAATTAGCTCCTCAACCTCATGGTAACCGAACATACTTGCCTCCGAGCATGTCACACACTTGTCTAAAAAAGAGAAAAAAAGTTTTTGTGAGTTTTTACGAGGTGTGAAGGTTCCATTTGGTTACTCTTCCAATGTGAAGAGACTTGTATCTATGAAAGATCTCAAATTGCTTGGGTTAAAATCTCATGATTGTCATGTATTGATGCAACAACTTCTACCTGTGGCTATTCGAGGTATCTTACCGAGACAATGTTAGATATTCCTTAACTCGATTATGCTTTTTTTTTAATGCCATATGTAGTAAAGTTATGGACCCGGATGTTTTGGATCAGTTAGAGAATGAGGCTGCAAGTAATATTATGTCAATTTGAGATGTACTTTCCTCCATCATTTTTTGATATTATGGTTCACTTGATTGTTCATCTAGCCAGGGAAGTTAGAATCGTGGTCCAGTTTTCTTACGATGGATGTACCCTTTTGAGCGATACATGAAAATATTAAAAGGGTATGTGAAGAACCAATATCGTCCTGAAGCATCAATTGTTCAAAGATATATTGCAGAGGAAGCTATTGAGTTTTGCACAAACTACTTATCGAAGTTGAAGCTATAGGGTTACCTAAGACTCGTTACCATGGAATAGGTCTTGGTAGAGGAACTCGAGGTGCAAAAGTTGTGACAATGTGTCGAGATGAAGTACTTCAAGCGCATTTGTACATCTTGAATAACAGTGAAGAAGTCATCCCCTACTTAAGTGCTCATAAAGAGATTGTGAAGCGAAATAATCCACGTATGCCTAAAAAGTGGGTGATCACTGAACACAACAAGAGCTTTTTGAAGTGGTTTAAACAACAAGTTGAAGGTGACAATACAACTTCGATACACTAAAGTGGCTAGCATGTGAGCCAAACTTTGATGTGATATGTTGGGGTGGGTATGATATAAATAACTATTCATTTTATACAAAGGGAGAAGATGAAATAAGCACAATGCAAAATAGTGGAGTCATGGTGGTGGTCGAATCAATGCATTTCTCGAGTTCAAAGGATAAATATCCGATAAGGGCGTCAATGGGCTACTTTGGTGTAATTGAAGAGATTTGGGTAATAGATTACACGATATTCGAAGTACCTATTTTTAAATGCAAGTGGGTTGATTTTAATACTCGGCATCTTCACCGATGATCTTGGATTTACCTTGGTTAACCTTGAAAATACTCGTTATACCGAAGAACCATTTATCATGGCATCTCGGGCAAAACAAGTGTTTTATGTCACCGATCCCGCTAACAAAGGATGGTCGGTGGTTCTACAAGGAAAACCCTTGTATACTTCGATGAGAATGATGAATTAGTACTTGATATACCCGAGACACCATGTTTCTCTTCAAATATGCCAAACTTGAGTGTTAATGTAGAAATAGATGATGTGCATGCCATCCGTTATGACCATATGGAAGGATTTTGGGAGAATGCTCCAACTTGATAGGAAATTTAAGCATTCAATCTTCATAGGAAATTTAACTTGTAACAATTTAGATAGAATTGATTTAAGTTAGGAAATTTACATTCGTTTAAGTAAATGAACTGTCTGGAAGCTGGATCTGTATGTACATATATTCATTTCAATGTGTTTCATATGTACATATCTGCTCTGAATCGAATCTGTCTATGCTTGGATATATATTTGTAGCAAATTTATATATGAACTGTGCATATCTGTCTGTACTTGGATATGTGGTTATTTGTCTGAAGCTGTGATGAATAGGCAGTGTCTACTCGAAGAAAGGTAGCATCCGTAAATAAAATGCGGTATTTAAAAAAAATAACACTTTCTACGCTCGGTTATGTCATTACCCGACGTAGAAAGTACTTCTATGTCGGTTATAATTTTAACCGACATAGAAAGTAAGACTTTCTATGTCGGTTATAAGTGTTAACCGACATAGAAAGTATATGACCGATCGGAACCGAGTATGACCGATCGAATAGCTCATACAAAATAAGACTTTCTACGTCGGTTCCTGACTAACCGACGTAGAAAGTCTTTCCGTGACCGATCGGAACCGGTTATGATCGATCAAGATAGCTCTATGACCGATCATAACCAGGTTTGACCGATCATAATAGCTCAAAGAAATTAAGACTTTCTACGTCGGTTCCTATTAACCGACGTAGAAAGTCTTACTTTCTACGTCGGTTATTAGGAACCGACGTAAAAAGCTTTACTTTTTATGACCCTCGTATCTATGTCGTCGCTTTAACCGACGTCGAAAGCCCATTTTAACCGATGTAAAAAGCCTTTTATGCAGTAATGATATTAAGATGAGTTAGATTGATAAGTGAACCTTCACCTCAACATTCACCGAATGAACTGGTAATATTAATTCCTAAATCTATTTTATTGGTATATTTTAAAAAATATTTATATATTAAAATAAATAAAAAATTATAATTAAAAATATTATATTTTTTATGACATTAAAATATAAATATATTATATTTAAAATTATAAACATTAATAAATTAAATTTAAATTATTATTTATAATTAATTATATTAATACATAAATATAATAATTTTTAATTTATTTAATAAAATTATTAATTAATAAATAAAAATTTAAAAATTATTCATATAATTAATATATATATATATATAAAAAACAATTTTATATAAAAAAATATGAAGTAATCACTAGTTGGGTTAATCTATCTTTCAATAGGGTAAATTACACTGTAATTATATTTTTTCTCAAATTAAAGTGAGACGGAGTAAAATGAAACCGACCTGTTTTGCATGTAATTCAATATGATATTTTTTTTAACGGATATTGAATATTGAGATTGAAGACTATGTAATATATTATTAATAAATATAAAAAATAAAAAAATAAAATTATAAATATATACTTAAATATATTAAATTTAAATTAGACAAAATTATAAATTATATAAAAATTATATTAAATGATAATTAAATTTAAATTAAATAAAATTATAGTAGTAGAAGAGTTTATAATAAGTTATAAGATTTTTTTTAATTTAAAGAATGATCTTAAATTTTTTTATTCGGAATATGGAAATCATTAACTGTTAATAGAATTGTCCATAGTATTTTAAAAAATATATGATAGTTTTAAAAACAGAAAAATAATCACACACATAAACGTTTAATAAAAAACCTTTAAAATGTAAATTAAAAAAAAATGTTTTTTTAAGAGAAAAAAAAATCAACCATTATTTTAATCTCAAATAATATATATATATATATATATATATAAAATACGAACTTTCTCTTATTTTTTCTGCTAACAAAACTTTCATCATTTATAACTTAAATAATCTATAATAATAAACGGGGTAAAAAGTTTTTTTTTGTCGTTTATTTTCTTCAAAAATTAAGAATAGTTTTAACTCTCTTTTTTTTTTATTCTTCATTGATTTTCATTAATTTAAATGATCTTTTTAATTTTTCGCTTATTGACACACAATTTATATCGATATCTATAATATACAACAATAATATCCTTAACTACTCTATAATTCATCCATCATCCTGCTGTTTCTCTTCCAAACCTTTGTATTAAATTAACCATATTAAACTGTCAAAAGATTAAAAAAAAATGTTAAAAGAAATCAAAATTTACTTTTTTTTTTCTTTCTAAAAAGGTATTTTATTATGTAACAAACAGATCAAAGGAGGAAAATTTATAAGAATATCTAATTATTGAGTCTTTCTGACTAGATACTGTTTAATTAAAAAATAAAATATAAATTTAAAATAATGTAAAAAATATTACAAAGTTATGGAAGAACTTATACTGGTTAATATTTGTCTTAATTATTTATTTTACAAAAATACATTAAAGCGTGACGAATTATACTATAATTTGTGATTGTGATGCTTCCTAATCTTCTGAGCCATGTAAAAATGGGCCCTTTTCCTCAGGTGCTAATCGCTATCCTCTGTTTCCTTCATTTTCTACCATTTTCAATCATCCCATCTTATACTCTCTTTTTTTTATCATTTTGGGTTCATCATTGTTCAGGCGAAATTGCTAATAGCTCTGGAATCAATAATCATGGTTCTCCCGAACTGTGAATTTTGAACATTTCAGTAACAACACTTTGGTTGCTACTTTCTCCATGGCTGCTACTCCTTCTTCTACTTACCCTTTTGGAGTTCCTTTCCACTCCCTGGGTCGAAGAGTGGATTCCTCAACCTCCCTGTTCCCCCTCCACGTGGACCTCTCTACAATTTCTATGTCCCCTCGTTCTACTTCAAAGGTATCTTTCTCATTCTCAGTTTTCTCGTTTCATGTTGTTGAGATGAGACACAATTCACCTGAATTTCAATCCATGCTTGTGTGAAAGTACTAGGATTTGTCTATTAGTTAAGTTTGTTAACTCTTTTAACACCACGAAATGTCCGGAGAGAACTGAGATGCTACGGAAGTTAAAGAAAGAGGATTTAGGCAGAGGAAATTTCGTACTGTTGATCAATGTCTATTATACAATAGTGATTGACTCTGGGAATTGGGAGATTTCTATACTTTCTAGTTTTATAAAATCATTCTTTATGCAAATGGGATAGTTTGGGTGACATTATATGATGTTTAGCACAAAAGGGACATTGGGGTAATTCCCCAACTGGAGCTTTCAATGCCTTATACTTCCATACCGTGTTTGATTGCATTTGGAGGGAAAAAACAGAATGAAGAGGGAAGAATGGAGGGGACTAACGTCCCTTCTCACTTAGTTTAGCCCCATTATGAAATTGAGGAATTTGAAGGAGAGAAACACTCGTTGGATCAAGCTCTTACTACTAGATCAAAAAGATATAGATGATAGGCAGGGTGAAACTCGTTTTCCTCAAGAGCGTAGCAGTCAGATATCACATTTTGATTGTAACTTGACTCACCTGTCCTACACTATGGAACAAATGATGCACCTTGCAACATTTTACACTATATACCCTAAACTATCATCAATGTAATAGCTTTTTATTTATTTTTTTACTATTGTAAGTAAATAATATTAACTTTGTTTATTTTCCCTCCCCAATGCTTGTGAACCAAAGAAGTTGCCACTTTTTCTATAAAATCATTACTCCTCTTCTGTCCTTTGAACCAAACTATGAACTATGTTTTATAGTAAGACTCGTTGGTCTTTTAGTTCTCCATATAATTGGGAATTTGGATTACATGGACAATTTAATCTGCTGGGCAATTAAGTTGCCTGAGTATTCAGCAGGTAAGAGTCACCAATTGCCAAATTGGCTTTAAAATTGCACTAAATGTATCATCATTCTCAGGTGACAGACCAAAAGGATAATCCTATTTGTCCTAGTTTTTAGAATCTTATGATTCATGATTCGAAATCCTATTATTTGATATGATTCCCCTACCTATTGACTTATATCACGAGATCAATCTCAAATGACTTTGTATTGTACAACACATAAATGAATCAATTCAATTTATCATTGACATGAATCACACATGATTTTTTTTAATTTTCTTTTATCAATTCCCATTCAAGAAACTTAAAATGCATAACCTTAAATTGTTAAATGAAAAGCAATTGAAGGAATACTACTAAACTCATCCTATTTAATCATTCTGCTGCTTTATTTGTCACCCACTCATCCAATGCATGCACTCTATTTTGCTATTTCATGTCACTGTTCCCAGTTTTAAAAAAATAGAGGCTCCACAGCTGATCCAGATCTAATGAACTGGTTGGATAACACTTTTACAGTTAAAATTGTTTCATATATTTCTATTTTTAAAATTATTTCATTGAACACTATATGATATATTTGAAGTTATTTTTCATTGCTTCCGAATCTTAAGATTGAATACAAATTATGATTCATGATTCAAAAATTAACCTGGCAATTTACGATGTGAATCTCAACTTGATAAACCTTTGGTTGAATAATGATGTCTTCCACGTGTTTTTTATGCCACTTCATGTTGGACTTTGAGGATCCTGTAATATTAGAACTAAGGGTGCATTTTAAAATAATAATACATCAAATCTTAGCTTTACATTACCTTCCCGGTTGAAAAGTATTACAGCAAAAATTTACATGTAATTAATTGCTGGATGAGTTGGTAGAATCTAATGGGGTTGTGGATGCAGGGATTAGTTGATCGAGTATGTGCACAGCTTGATAGTGATGATTACTACTGGGAGAAAGTTCCAACACCCATTCTTGACATGGTTGAAAACCCTTTTTGCTTGAAGAAATTATCTCTTAAGGTTAACTGTAAGCTCGAAATCATTCGCATTTTGCTTTTACATTATTTGTTCTTACAATCCTGAAGTACCTCATTCCATTCCCTAAATATTTGTCTTTACAGGAGCTGAAACAGCTAGCAGTTGAAATCCGTTCAGATTTGTCTTCTATTATGTCAGGTACACAAATATCACCTAAAGCAAGTATGGCAGTGGTGGAGCTGACAGTTGCAATACATCATGTTTTCAATGCTCCAGTGGACAGAATATTGTGGGATGCTGGGGATCAAGTAAGATTCTGAATTATATGCAAAAGAAATTGCCCCTCTCGTTTTAAATTTTCCTCACTCCTTTTTGGCGTGAAAGTTGAATCCAAATTGCAGATTGTTACTAGGAGTTCATTTTGCAACAAAACAATGAAATTCTAATTTCTAAGAATTCAATGGCTGATCTTGATTGGATAATGTAACCATTTCATTATTCGTGTGCAGACATATGCACATAAGATTCTTACTGGAAGGCGATCTCTCATGAAAACAATGAGAAGAAAGAATGGTCTTTCTGGTTTTACTTCCCGATTAGAGAGTGAATATGATGCATTTGGTGCAGGTCATGGATGCAACAGTATTTCTGCTGGACTGGGTAGTTTGTAAATCCTTTTCCCTTTTAATAATATTTGTTTCTGCAAACACTATTCAGACTTTGTTCATATGTTTTTCTTGTCATTCACTTGTCTGAGTAAATTTTTGGGTAGATAAATTGAACTTTTTCTGTATTTTCCATTTTCAATGAATAAATGAAATTTCTAAAGGTGAAATTTAAATGACCTCAAAGTCATATGTAGATTGTTTTATTTCAGGCATGGCAGTTGCCCGGGATATTAAGGGGAGGCAAGAACGTGTAGTTGCAGTTATCAGCAATTGGACAACTATGGCTGGTCAGGCGTACGAGGCAATGAGCAATGCAGGATATTTGGACTCAAATATGGTTGTGATTTTGAATGATAGTCGTCACTCTTTACTTCCAAAAATTGATGAGGGCCCAAAGACATCTGTCAATGCCCTATCTAGTACCCTGAGCAAGCTTCAGTCCAGTAAATCTTTCCGAAGATTTAGAGAAGCTGCTAAGGTATGCTTCTTTTCGTCGTCCTCTGCAAGAAAAGAATGCTAGCTAGTTTCAAATTAGTCTTTCAGTATATGTTTGCATGCCATGTCCATATGATAATGCCTTGTCATTCAACTAAAAATGAGCCTACTTAAAAAAGCATTTTTCAATGGTAAATAACTCGTAACTTTAGTACAAAATGGATCAAATTAGTACATTAAGAGCAATATATTATGTATGATAGGTGGCCTGAAGAAAATATTGTAACGACTAAGATTTTCCTTCGTGTGCATTAAGTAAGATAAATGAATTTCCACTCCCCCAAATGTGTGGTTGCACGTGCATATTTCTCTGGCATTTATATTTTCTTGTGTAAAATAACAATTGATATACCTAATCAGTAGTAATGATGGTCCTTCATTTAGATCCCAATCTGCTTCATTTTCAATTTATGTTCAACTGACAATTTGTCTGCTTTATAACAGGGTGTTACAAAACGAATTGGTAGAGGTATGCATGAGTTGGCGGCTAAAGTTGATGAATATGCTCGTGGTATGATAGGTCCCCTAGGTTCTACTCTTTTTGAGGAGCTTGGGTTGTACTACATAGGCCCAGTGGATGGACACAATATTGAGGATCTAATATGTGTTCTGCAAGAAGTTGCTTCCTTGGATTCAATGGGACCCGTGTTGGTACATGTGATAACTGATGAAAATATTCAGAAAAGTGATATAACAAATAGGCAACAAAAGGATGGTATTTCTTTCGGTAACCTATGATAATCATATGGTGTTAATTGTTCCATGACATGTTATTTCTTCTAAAATAGCTTATGTAGCCATAATGCATTTACCCTATAGTTCTTTTCTTTTTATGGTTTTCCACTTCTTCCCCATGGTTGTGTTCTTAGTTTAAATACTTAAGCCTTTCAAGAAAATAAAATGAATCTCATCGTAAACTGATTAGTTTATAGACAGATTCTATGCAGTAGCTTGAAGATAACTTGCGTATAAAGGATATGATACTACATAAATAACAATAACAAACTGATGAACCTCATCCCAGTAAGTTGAGTCTGCTATATGGATTAATGGACAGACACCAGTGAACTCTACCGAAACAAAAATTTCAGTAAAATCATTTAGTTATATTTTTATCAAATGTTTTCATTCGTTTTCCTCTATCCCTTTTAATAGTATTCCCATGATTTTTTAGCTTATTTTGGTACAGGTTGAAGCCAGCAGTGCATATATTTGGCTTCTTATCTGAATTCCAGTATATAATTATTGTTTAGGTGCTCTGTCATATCTTCTGAATGTCAGGAGATTATTGTTTAGCTGCCTTATGGAATTGAACTTCTCATTATTTTCAAATTTTGATTGTGATTTGGCCACGTAATTATTATTGAGTAATTTTGTTTAATTTTCAGATCCTTTTAAATCTGATTCGTTAGATAATGTTGTTCGGCCTCGAACATATGGAGATTGCTTTGTGGAGACTTTGGTTGCAGAAGCTGAGAAAGACAAAGATATTGTGGTTGTTCATGCAGGAGTAACGATGGAGTCATCCCTTGAACTGTTTCGGGGGAAATTTCCGGATAGGTTTTTTGATGTGGGAATGGCTGAGCAACATGCTGTCACATTTGCTTCTGGTTTGGCATGTGGTGGCTTGAAGCCATTTTGCATTATACCTTCTTCCTTTCTGCAAAGAGCCTATGATCAGGTCCAACCTTATATCAGCTTAAATCCTTAAACTACCACGATAACCACTATGTATTGTTCATAGACCATTTGGATTTCTTTCAGAACAGAATATTTGTAGTTGATATAAACCATTAAATTCAATGGAATTTAGTACTATTGTCATTATCAGTTTATTGTTTATTATGAAGTGAAGAAATGTGGTAACAACACTACATATCTGGTATGTGCTTAGGGTGTCAAACTATAAGTGATTGTACTGTAAGAAGTATGAACCTTCAGGAAGTATGGTACTTTAGGATCTCTGATAGTGTTAACAGAAGTAATTAGGTCTCATTATACCTTTGTGTGTAATTTTAGTAAGCGTATATGTGGGTGGGTGGAAGTTGCGTGCCTAGTACCCACTTGCATGCAGAATATATAGTTAGTTCGCATTGCATAATAATTTGATACAAGTAATTGTGATTTTTAACATGTTACATATCACATATAGGTGGTACACGATGTTGATCAACAGAGAATTCCAGTGCGCTTTGTCATTACAAGTGCAGGGTTGGTAGGTTCTGATGGTCCCCTCCAATGTGGAGCATTTGATATAACCTTTATGTCATGCTTACCAAACATGATTGTCATGGCACCATCTGATGAGGTTGAACTCATGCACATGGTAGCCACTGCTACTCATACCAACAACCAACCAGTCTGCTTTCGGTATCCAAGGGGTGCCCTGGTTGGGAAAGGCTACACTGTAGGCGATGAATTCCCCATCAAGGTAAAATAAGGCGGCACTCTATTTTCTTGTTCCAGTATGAGTTATACTGGAACTTTGAATAGGGTAAACTGATTGACAAACCTAAGGAAGTGCCATTCATTCCTAACTTCCCCAATGATTTGTCATAATATATTTTTAATTTATCTTCCTTCTTTAACTTTGGCGTGGCTGTAATCTATTCATATACAGATAGGAAGAGGCAGAGTTCTTGTTGAGGGTAAAGATGTTGCTTTCCTAGGATATGGATCGATGGTTCAGAACTGCCTAAAGGCTCATTCGCTCCTTGCAAAACTCGGCGTTGAGGTGACTGTTGCCGATGCAAGGTTTTGCAAGCCCCTTGACATCAAACTTCTGAGGCAGCTTTGTAAATATCACTCTTTTCTAATTACTGTTGAGGAAGGATCTATTGGAGGATTTGGTTCCCATGTTGCTCAGTGTATTGCAGTTAATGGACTACTCGATGGAAGAATTAAGGTAATAGGGTCAAGCTTTGCATGTGGGAACGCTATACTTGTTTTATGGTTCTAAGAATATTTTGGATTATGAATGCGCTGTTGGCTATTGATAATTGGCGTAGAGATATAGAATTAACAAATTTCTCTGCCTGTTTGAATTTCTTGGCGAGAAGTTATACCTTTAATTTTTTTTCAGCACTAAAATATTTCTGTTCTATTGTGTGTGATTGCAAAGATATTTTACCTGACAGCTGCATCTTAAAAATCTGGTGTACACACATGCAAGTAACTTGGTGTCCCTTTCATGCAGCAAAATTGTTTATTTTAGTTTTACATTGTTTTAAAGATGATATAGAGATTTTATATTGTATTGGTGCATTTCTAAACACACATGGCCTTGACATAGCTTGTCTGCATGGTATGACTAGATTTTGTTTTTTGTGACCACAAGTTTGTGATATGTTTTTTGTGGATGAACTATTCCAGTGGCGACCAATTGTCTTACCTGACACATATATTGAACATGCATCACCAAATGAACAGCTTGACCAAGCAGGGTTGAGTGGACATCACATTGCTGCCACGGCATTGAGTTTGCTAGGCCGTACACGGGAAGCTCTGCAATTTATGTGTTCCTGACTTGTTATATGCTTCCTGTCCTGCCCTTTTTCAGATTCCATGAATTGAAGTTGGATACCTTCGTTTTGAAAGGGAACCAACATAGGAAAGATGTCAAGAATGCCATTTTTTTGTATAGAGTGTAACTTATGTTCAATAGTGAAAAGGTAATTAACGGAAGTTTTTGTGTTTTAGACGTCTAACAGTGTAAAGTGTGGAGAACGTGAATATTAGATGCAGTAGTTTTTGCTGGAAAGTTTAAGATAAGAATGTCTATGCGATGGATACCAAAAGTATAAAAGTTGTTCCAAGTGTTTTATGCATCTTTCATGGCGAGAATGTTGAGGTTTTCGGTGGGTGGGTTAGGATTCATTAACGAAACATAATTAAATCATATAAAAGAATATAGCTTTATTTTTAACTAAAAATTTTAAAATAATAAATTTATTAGTTTATCTCACTTGTATGTGCGATTGATTTTTTTTTCCAATAATATATTATTAAATTTATAATTCAAATATAACATTATTTTATTAATATTTATCTATTTAAATTTATAATTTAAAAATAATATTATTTTATTAATATTTACATGATATTAAATTTATAATTTAAAAATAACATATATTTACCTAATGTATATATAATTTCATCATTTTTATTCAAAATTTTAACAGACTTAAATTCTAATATAGAAAAAGTATTGTGAACGTGCATTTTAGATGCAATAATTTTATATTTTCGAACTAAAGTACTAAGACCTGTGTTTTTTGTTTTAATAAAACTCTGCATTATATTTTTTGTATTGATTATTTTTGTACTAAAATACTAAAGTTGATGAGAGGTGTTATTGGCAAATATTAGAAGGCACTAAGAGGTATTAATAACAGTGATAGTTTAAAAAAATATAAATTTAGAACATATATGCTGTTACTAACTAAATCACCTTTCTTAACTTTAATTAATAAAGTAATTTGATCTGATAAATACAGCCTACGAATAATGATGTTACCAAACACGATCTCTGATTTTTTTATTTTATTTTTTATCATAAGGGCAAGCAAGAACAGGAGAAAAAAAAAATAGTAAAGGACAAGAGCAGCAAGAGTGTCACGCTAATTAAAGTTAAAGTAAAAAAAAAATGTATAATTAAGATGAAAAGATGAGAACACAGGAAAGTAAACTAAACCATTTTGGTTTTGGGATGGGATGGGACAGCTATGCTAATTTGCCTCCTCACGCGGCATTCAAAGAATGAAACCAAAAGAGCGAAAAAGGAATGTGGAATGTATGTTCCAAATTCCAAGCGAAACACTAAAATCCAAATCGACCGACTCAAGCCAGATGCTGAGTTCAAACGCGCTTCCTAATTCTCTCGCTCTGACTTTCACCCACCACTTTCTGTCTTCCAGCTAAGACCCCTAACAATCACATGCACAATCAATCTCTTCCTAACCTACACAATTTTTTCTTTTCTCTAAATTATATTCTTTTAAGGATAAACTATACTTTAATACACAAAACATAAACTACTATACATTATCCTAAAACAAATTGCATTGTTTGGTAACTTTTAAACAAGTTTACTGAATAAACCTCACATTTTGTTTTAATGAAACTAATATATTATTTTACATGTTTTAATAAACCTATATAACGAGTAATATTTTTCAATTAAAAGTAGAGTTACTAGGTGTGCATGGGACCACAGCATAGACCCCTCCGAAATCCTGGGATGTTCAAACGGATCTCCCTTATTTGGGACCCACAGATCTTGGTTTTGAGTTACTAATTTTTGCATTGGCATTTGACTGTGAGACCCTCTCCAGAGAGAGTGAGAGAAAGGGTCCTACCACTGCACCCTTACACCATACATTCATACGTATTTCTCTTATTTCCTCAGGGTCAGTGGACCCTCTTCCTTCTTCAAGTGTGTCTCTCTTCACAGTTTCTCATTTATCTCGCTCAATTAATCATCACTATAATTGTTAATTATGCAGCACTAGTCATGGTTTGTGCCCTCCTCAAACGCCTTATATACATGCCATTGCCGCTGCCTAGCTTCTCCTAATTCCTCATTGGCTACATTGGTGCATTTCCGTGTCTTCAGAACCGTGAGCACCCCTTCACATTATTCTTCTTTCATCATCTACATCACCTAGTTTAAATTCACGTTATAATTGTATCTAAGCCTGTTTTATGTTGAAGAATCGATTTTGATTTCACAATGTATTTATCTTCACTTGAAACAATTTTAGATATCGTTTCCCTTCAATCAAACCTTTATAGTGGATCTTTTTTAAAATGAAAATATTGGTCATGTCACTGTTACTGTGTTTTGGAAAGTTTACTTTTTTAATTTCAATTGGTTTTGTATATAAATAAGCTGAATGTTTGTTCATTAGCTGAAATTTAGTAAAAGTTTTCTCTTCTGAGAAATAAGTTTAAAACTGACTCTGATTCTAATTTATTATCACAATAATCAATCAACCATATAATCCATTATTGAAATAATCTAAATTGTATACTTGTCCAAACACATCCTTCATATTTAATTTTGATTGTGACTAATTTTGCAACCACTGACCCAAAATTTATGTAAAGTTGTTCATATAAAAAAATTGCCATTTTGTATACCCCATTTTTATTATTCAATTATATGATTTTTTTGTTCTTGGTTATGCTTCTGACCACCGTCAAGTACTAGCTGATCATCATCGAGCATGTCATGTTCATATGTTGTGTAAGCTTTGTCTTGTCCTTGATTTCGTAGATTACCGTAAAAGCTAGAAATGGATTCCAAAGATTTCCTATATTTTAAAATGTGGTTTTTGTGGTGTACACACGCGCAAACTCAAGAAATGCATTTTTATCACATGTATCCAACTATTGTGTCAATTTTGTCGCTTCTTAATTGTTTTGCTCTATGTCTTTCACTCAATTATCTATGTCTCATTCCCTCCTTTCTTCTTATTTAAATGCATGCTAATAGACTTCACTAACCAAAAAGTTCCTCACATTTCATCACACTTTCTGAGTATCTTCAGATGCAATCAGTTTTCTGAAAGTTGCCAACTGGTATATCTAATCTGTGCTGTGCATAATTTCCTCCATCACCAGTGGGAAACATGGGAGCACCATTTAAGGGAATAATTCAAGATTTCAAGCGAAGAGCTCAATACTATAAACAAGATTGGGTTTGTGCAATTTGTTCTGGTGCCAGGTAACTTGGATATCTTGGGAAACACATTGCATACTTACTTGGGTTTTCCTTTTTCTTATCTTAAAATGTCGTGTATTTTATCAACAAATTTTGATTCATGCTTCCTACGCAGCATATTGGCTCCAACTTTCTACATATTCTTTGCTTCTGCTCTTCCTGTCATTGCTTTTGGAGAGCAACTGCATAGGGATACAGGTAAAACAATCTCTTTTTATCAACACCCTCATATCTTTGAGCAAATAGTTATTTTCAGGATTTTGGTGGATATATCAAAGCATGGTTGATGTTCAATGAGTGAGCTTTTGAATGGTGTCTTTTAACAGATGGAACCTTGAGCACATCGGAAACATTGGCATCTACTGCTATTTGTGGAGTTATCCACTCAATATTTGGTGGCCAACCTCTGTTGATTTTAGGAGTTGCTGAGCCGACCGTCATAATGTACACTTACCTGTACAGTATTTGCAAAAAAAAACTGGGTCCGGAGCTCTTTCTGGCTTTTGCTAGTTGGTACGGCAGTTTACATTATACTTCTGATTCTGATTTTCACATTTCCTGAACCATTGTACATTACTGATTTGTCTAACTTCAATGCTCACATGTGTTGCAGGGTTTGTGCTTGGACGGGATTTATGCTGATTCTGCTTTCAATTTTTAATGCTTGCACAATTATCACAAGGTTTACAAGAATTGCGGGGGAGTCATTTGGCATGCTCATAACTGTTCTTTTCCTTCAACAGGCTATAAAGGTGTTGCTTTCTCTTCCTAGCAAAATAGATTGTGAATTTGGTTCTGCAGAACTCAGCATGACTGTTATTTAAACCTTGAACCACAGGGATTGATAGGGGAGTTCAACACAGTCAAGAATGAAGATCCTTCCTCAGTGGAATTTCAATTCCAGTGGCTGTATATAAATGGAATACTTGCAGTCATTTTTTGTTTTGGATTACTTGTCACTGCCCTTAAAAGCAGAAGAGCAAGAGCGTGGCGATATGGAACAGGTAAATGATGCATAATATCTTACAAGATAGAGCTTGATTTATCATGTCAATTCTTTATTTCTTATTCTGGCATTCGATGCAGGGTGGCTACGAGGGTTTATAGCAGACTATGGGGTTCCATTGATGGTAGTGTTATGGACTGTACTATCTTATGCTATACCAGGCCAATTTCCAGATAACGTTCCTAGAAGGCTCTTTTCTCCCCTACCCTGGGATCATGAATCTCTCTATCACTGGACAGTAGTGAGGGTAATGTTACACATCGAGTACAATTTTTTCCATCCAAAGTGCATTTTTTGTAATTGTTGGCTTAGGTTGCTTAGCAAAATACATTGTTTTTGTGTTTCTATTGTTGTCCATGCCACGTATGCGTGCTGCTTTTAGGTTAGATGTTGATGTTCATCATTATGAACAGAAAGCAGTGATCATTTTAATTCAGGCAAGTCCAAACATCCATCTAACAGTTACAGCAAAATGCAGGATATGCCGAAGGTACCTGTGGCTTATATATTTGGGGCAATTATTCCAGCTCTGATGATAGCAGCCTTATACTTTTTTGATCACAGTGTGGCTTCGCAGATGGCACAACAGAAAGAATTTAACCTTCAAAGACCATCTGCCTACCACTACGATGTTTTCCTGCTTGGAATAATGGTACGTTAATTTGTCTCTAATACCCTTTTTAAAACTTGGCCTTTGTGTTATTCCATGTTGATAATAGTTCCTGAGGTATCTTTACTGTCCTCAGACTGTGGTTTGTGGGATGCTTGGTCTTCCTCCTTCAAATGGAGTCCTTCCACAGTCTCCCATGCATACAAAGAGCTTAGCGGTTCTTAGGAGGAAGGTAAGGATCATCTATTGCGCCCAGACTCTGGTTCTTATCTTCTAAATATCAATGAATTTTAAACACCGCGTTATCAATTTACAGTTGATCCGAAAGAAGGTGGTGAAGAGCGCCAAGGAATGTATTAAGCAACATAAGACCAACACTGAATTGTATGGAAAGATGCAAGCTGTGATTCTAGAAATGGATACAGACCCTACGGTAAGTATTTTTGTAGTGATAGCTGCGTGTCTGTGTATGCTGGATGTCCAAGAGTAATAACAATGTTTTGACATGGTGCAGGTTAAAGAATTGGAGACTTTGAAGCAAGCTGTAATGAACTCTGATAACAAGGATGATGTAGAGAAAAATTTTGATGAGAGACACATAGATAAATATCTACCGGTGCGCGTTAATGAGCAAAGAGTGACCAACTTATCGCAGTCCATCCTGGTCGGTGCATCAATCCTAGCCATGCCTGTAATCAAAAGGATACCAACCTCAGTTCTGTGGGGCTATTTTGCTTACATGGCAATTGATAGTCTCCCAGGAAATCAGTTCTGGGAAAGGATATTGCTCCTCTTCATCACCCCAAGCCGGCGTTACAAGTAAGTATATATATACAACCTTGTCTAAATTATTTTCAATGCATAATGGTTTTGAAATTGAGAGATTAATCATGGCTTTCAATAAGCAAAACCAATAATATAATACCTGGGTGCACCATTACATCTACATTTTGACCAGGCATTTTCATATACTGTAAGAAGCTAATGACATATTTTGTCATTGTTATTGTCTGTTTGGCCAGAATTTTGGAAGGTTCTCATGCCTCTTTTGTGGAGACAGTACCATTCAAGACCATAGCTGGATTTACAGCCTTGCAGTTAGTATATTTTCTGATATGTTTCGGGGTGACTTGGGTACCTATTTTTGGAATATTGTTTCCGGTAGCATTCTTCCTTCTCATAATCATAAGAGAACACTTGCTTCCAAAGATATTCCAGCCTAACCATCTTCAAGAACTAGATGCTTCTGGGTATGAGGAGATTGCTGGTGCTCCACAAGGTTCACTGAGGGTACGACTTATCTTCTTCTCTTGTTTTTATGACACATCCTGTGTTTTGTAAATTTGTTTGTATATTCCAAGTTCTTCAACTTAAGACCTGAAAATCTTTTTATCAGGATAAGGAGACAGATACTGATACTGACGGAAGCTCAGAAGACTTCTACGATGCAGAGATATTAGATGAGATGACAACCAACAGGGGAGAGGTGAAATTAAGAACCACAAGCAGTTTCAGTGATAGAAACCAGAGCTTCAGTGAAGACAGGCATATTCAGGTAAATTACTTAAATAGAATCCTTTGAGGTTTCAACTTACTATACGTGCTAGTATTTACTTTGTTTGTGTTATGGACTTGCACAGGTTTGTCCTGAAGATGCCGTCTGAATATGGTGGAATCTCTCAGCATCTTCCATTGTTTAGGATTAAGGGTTTGATATGATAGTGTGTTACTCTGGAAAGGAGTTCTCATAATAAATTTGTAGTCTGTCAAGGTTGAAGATGATCTTCTGTGAAACAAGAAAGGATTCAATCGGTGGAATCTGAAAGAAATGAAATGGCAAGGGAAAGAGAAGTGGATAAAAAATGCATAAGAAGTGTCAGAAAAAAGAAAGGGGGAGAGCAAAGAACTAAGAAAAGCCATTTATTAGAATTAATTTTTTAGTTAAAATAGAGATAAATGTGAGTAGAACATTCTTTAGATTTTAGGTAGCACCAATTCTTTTGATGATAGAATAGTTTGTGAGAAAATCTTCAGTTTGTAGCAATCAACAAAGACCAAAGGTAAAAAATGTAAGAGAATTTGGTTATTTTTTTTTTTAGGGTAAATGTGTATGTACCTTAGTACAATATCATAGAAAAATGATTCTTTTAGGTGTTTATATATAAATTCAAATTTTTACTACATTTGTTATGCATATATTTAATTTTAGTACATGTTCCATCATTCCCTTTCACAGTTTCAAAACAGTCTGATAATAAACTAAATGAGACATATGACACATCTCCATTAATATAGTTTGCAAATTAATCTATATTTTTAAATGGGTGATAATTTTTTATCTAATTTATTTTTAAAATAAATTAAAAGATAATTTTGATTTAATTAATTTTTTAAAATTATAATAATTAATATAAATAATTTATAAAAATTAATCAAAAAATAAAAATATAATTTTAAATAAAAATAAAAAATTTAATTTATATTAAAATATCTACAATAATAAAAAAAAAATATGAATTGAATTCTTCTGTATTTGTTAAGTATATCATAAATAAATCTTATCTATGATAGGCATCCAATTATATCAATAAACATACATAATAAAAATAAAACAAAAATATCAAACAACATCTTAAAAAGAGTAACATACTAACATTACATTTTAAAAGCCAAGTAGTTGTTAAGAGAAATAATTTTCATTTTTTCCTTACAAGAAGACTTTATATTATTGTCATAATGTTATACTTACAATATTATTATTCTTTTTCTTATTATTATTTTATGTTAAATATAAAAATATTTCTATCAAAATAATATATTTTTTTATTTGTATATAATATTATAATTATATTATTAATATATAAGACAAATATTTTTGTTTACATGAAATATTATAATTATGTTATTATATTAAATATAAAAATACTTTACCAAAAAATATATCTCTTTATCTTTATCATATATAATATTATATTTATTTTATTTTGTTATATATGAAAATATATTTGTTGAATAATAATCTTTTTTATTTTTATCATCGTATAATATTAATTATATTTATTTTGATATTAATACATCATTTAATATTAAAATTTATTTTACTCTAAAAAGGTTTTTAATCATTAAATTTTCTATTATGTTTTCTATTATATTCTTTTTATGTTTGACCAGTGTTATCATGTCCAAATAAATTTTAACTATTTTTCATTGTAATTTTTTTATTTGTTTGTTTACTAGATTTTATCATCATGTAATAATAAATGAAGAAGGTAAACAAATTGTATGTATCTATACAACATTTTTTTTCATTTTCATAAAATTTCGAAGTTGCTAAACTTTAAAAAATTTTAAAGAAAGAAATTGTAAGTTTAATTGAATCTCTTTTTTTATGTATTTGTAAGAATATGATAACTAATAATATTTTTAGATTAATTAAATTTTAAAAAATAAAAATGAGAGATTGATTGATTCTTTTTTAATTTATGATTATTCTGTCTAGGATAAAAAGTGTTTCAATCTCGTGTATACGATAACATTATTACGTATTAATTTTCTAATTCGAGGTATGATTGATTTTAAAATTCTTGTTTATCACGATTATATTAAAAAAAAAAAACGTTTCAATCGATTGGACCAACTCCTAAATTATACGACACTCGACAATGATTTTAAAAATGGTTTTCTAAACAAATTTTGTTATTCTATTCGGTAATCAATTTCTCGTTCAAAAGTTATGAAGTTCAGAAAATTGTGTGTGTTTGAGAAGACGTGTTAGAAACTAAAAGACAAAATAAATTGTTTTTCCTTTTTTTGAAAATGACTCAATTTTTTTCGTTTTTTGTCCCTATCGTAAAGATGAAATAATTTTATTTTATATCATAATCTTGAAATAACCTTTTTTCTAATAAAAAACGATTTAATGTGCATTTTGACTAAACATATTGTTTATTATTACAAATTTGTGTATATGAAATTTGCATATAACACCAACCAAGTTTTCATTTTAAAAAATTCACTCAAATTAATTTTTTTTAAATTATTATATATTAACATCTAACTTAGATAAGATTTAAAGTTGGTTCTAGAATAAATATAAATAAAATTCCAAATTCCATCGAAAAAGTAAAACTAAACATACCTCTTTCATTTTCAGATGTATCAGTTCTATTTTATTTTTGGCTTGAACCTGAGTTTGAAACTGAAGTAAAGAAAGGATTGCTTGCAAAAGAAGTTATTTGGAACTTCATTTACATACTTCAATCAAACAAACCCAAACGTGAGGGGACATTTTACAGAAACATGTCACCATTCACAATGTCCGAGTAACATTTCTATACATTGAAAAGCTCCTTGCTTTATTACTTGAATCCCAAGTGAGAGAGAGAATTGCGAAATGCAATAGTTAACCTAATCACTTTTGCTTATAAAATTTGACTTTATTTAAGACAAAATATGAATACAGAAAGCAACATACATATCCATGGCCGAATGAAATAAACAAAATTTGCTGGATGTATCCATGTCCTTCCACCAAAGGATTCCTAGGGTTAAAAACATTTATTTAGTACCATGAAAATATAAAAGAGAGAAGGAAGCAGCTATACCGTTACCAATATACCCCACCACACCACTATCTATTCTATAGCGCCTCTTTCATTGCCTAATTAAAACTATGGTTTTATATGTGAGACCTCATTCAACTTTTCTTCTCTAGTTCAACCGAAACCCCTCCAGTCCCAAATTTGCAGTTAGCCACCTGCAAACTTCATCAGTCTCTTCAGGGACTGTATAGTGACCCAACCTGCAAAGCAAGAACATACTATTCATTAGACTTTTGCCATTTACAAATATGATTACTGATAACCTTTACAGAACAAGGCAGAATACCCGTTGTAGCTCCTAAATATAAGATTTGGGAATCCTGCTGAACTTAAGGCCATTGCAGACCTCTCTCCGTGTTCATATGCAACCACATCATCACCTGCAAAAACAATTCAAATGTTGATCCGTAATGAAATCAGGTCTATCCTCCATCATTGAAGATTTCATCATATGACTTCAAAGTCTGAACTACAACTTGAGAATATATGTCTAATATGTATTTACAGTTTTTCAAATATTGTTTAGATAAAGAGAAAGTCATATTAGATCATCTTTTAGGTTTAGGAGGTTAAGATTAAGATATTGTTACCATTTAATTTCTTGTCATATTTTGCTCTCTCTATGTACATAAATGAAATATTGTTGAAACTCCTCAATGTAATATCTCTTATCCTTCTAAAATATATTTTCTAAACATAAAAACCAACAATAGAATATCGAAGCTAAGTATATTGCAGTGACTGGTACAAGCTCGCATACATGTGTAAAGAATGAATTATAATTTTGTTAAAAGTTCATATAATTCATAGAAACCAGAAAAAATTTCAAAATGTTTAATCAAATGAAGATCTTGACATAGTGAATTAAAGAACTGGTGATCGCGACATGTTCACTTCCCCAGTCAGTATTAAGTGCAAGTCCAGAGTTTTGACAGTGGCTCCTACAAGGCATTCTTGGATATACATGTATCAAGAAGATGTTTAATTTTGAAATAATGATTGAAAAATAACAAGTATAGTCCTTTGAGTGGAAACTGGAAAGGAAAAGATTCCCGATGATAACAATTTGAACTTTAAGCTATAATGATAATGGATAGAACTTACGAATACCTTTTCCATGGCAGAGAAATAAGGGCAACGATGCTGCACGCCCTGTGGCATCACATGATCGTTCAATTTGGTTTTTCAAGGTCCTGGATCAATTAGAAGCTTCTGAGTGGCTTACATAATGTATAGCTTAAGGAAAAGGAAAGGAAAGTATTGGTGGATGTGTCATTTTAGTAGATCATTTACATATTCATTATGGTAAATGGTAAAAGCCAAACCTTGAACAAGGAAGCCAGCCACTTAAAGAAACAATAGCACTTAAGTTGATAGGGTAAATGTTTCCGTTCCCATAGTGCCCCAAAACATGGCATGTAGCTGAGTAAAGTGCAGTTGCAGCACCCATACTGAAGCCCCCAATACCAAGTTTGACTGTACGGTATACAGTAGAGTTTACATTAAATTACAAGCAATTTGAATTTAGTCAAAACATTCACATGAATGCAATATGAACGAATAACTGGCTTTGCTTTTGTGGTTTACTAAATACTACTCTACTCAATATGTAGAAGTATATCAATCTAAGCACCTTATTGATAGCAAATGTGGAGAATAACTGGCTTTGCTTTTGTTGATTTACTAAATACCACTCTACTCAATATGTAGAAGTATATTAATCTAAGTACCTTATTGATAGCAAATGTGGAAAGTTATTTCATAGCCTCAGGAAATCGCTATGGACTTGTAAGCATGCAATTTTTCATGTTCTGCCTCATATACTAAATTCTGTGCAGCTGAATACTTGAGAATAATTTTCTGCTGCTACTGAAGCAGACATCTAAACAAATTTTTGTGGTGCTTGTTGTTACACTATGTGCTAACAAGGCAACAGTGAAAAGATAAAATAAATTGTTTTCCTTACTAAAAAAAGCTCTCTCTCTTTTCCCCCAAACAAGTATGGATGTAATTAGATGGTACTCACACAATCAATACTTGCCAAAGAATACAGAGAGCATAAACATGCTGATTACTTCAGGAGTCTTCAAATATTGCTGATAGTTTCATTGAAACTTCTGGAATAAAGGAAAACCCTTTTCTTTCACTTTATAATGCCATAAGCAACTGCCAGTAGAGGGATTTATTCTGTATTTGTGGTCTTAGCAACTAGTATCATGTTTTCCATTATGACATTTCCTATTATAGATTTATCTAATGTAGTGAATTGAGAATGGATTCTCTCATTTTCAAATTTCACACCACTATATCATGAACACAAGTTCCTCAGGATAGATATTAAATAAGTGGGGCCCTATAAAAATTAACAAGTAGAGAGACACGGCAAAACTAGTATATAACCGATTATAATGTCAGGGTTCCTTTCCTATAGTGAATGATACCCATGAGCAAAAAACATATGGCAGATCATATCAGTGAGTTTCTTGAGTGATCACAGAAAACTTACTGTTTGGAGGCTCTGTTGACAAAAGATTGGCAACATGTGCTGCAGAAGCATCTAAACCCTCCAAATCACTAGGAGCATCTCCTGAAATCTCCGCAACATCAAACCCTGATAGAGATGCCTCAATCAGATTAGACTATTCTTGACAGTTATAAAGGAGCTGGCATTATAGTTCTACATTGAATATACAGAATGTTAGCAAAATATAAATATATTTTCACTTCAGTGAAGAAGAAAAATTTGTAGTTAAAAGGAAATGGTAAATGAACAATGGTTTTTGCGAGTTCATTATGCATAATTTCAAGCATTGAATCTTACAAGCAGTGCAAGGAAATCCACCAAATATAGCTACAGGCCGTGTAGGAGCAGTTGGGCAAATCCATTTAATCTGCAATATAAATTACAAGAAAAAAGATGGTGACTGATTGAGTACAAGAGTCTGTTTGGACGAGTTAATCTATACACTCTTCCTCCTAGGAGAGAAATTTAAATTAGATTTCCATAAGCTAAAATTAGCTTATACATGGATTAATTTGTAGAACATTTCTCAAACAGTTTTTCATATTTTTTATTTTTAACTTTTGCATAAGCTAATTTTAACTTATGAAGAAGTCAAAGCCATTTTTCTCTCCTAAAAAGCTCATGGAAAATCTGGTCCAAACATGCCAAGTGATTTCCAAATATTGCATACTAGCATGTGGTGCAACATCATATGTGCAGTAACTACTGAAAATAACTCCAAAGTATGCTTATTCTTACATTTGGAAGAGGAAGAGATTCCAAGAGTTGGGACCAGCTGCAAAACAAAATAAAATCCAATTTATTCACCATAGGCTAATCTGGAACTTGTCAACTAGCTATACAAACATGTTAAAGTAAAAAACTATTAGGACTATTTTTGGACTAAAAGTTATGCTATTGCAGATTCAATACACATTAGAATTATATCACCCGTACCTAATTTGGGCCACACATTACATTAATAAATGGCATAATTTGCATTATATGAATACAGGCACTTTTCAACCTGGTTTCAAATTTATGAAAATCAAGTGTTTACTACTTGAGCATTGGGACTATTTGTATCCTTGTTCGGTGATTAACACCTCATACCTTTAAGTTTTGGTAAGAGCATAGCAAGTGAAGTGGTCCCCTTTCTATTTTTTGGCATATAAAAATCTCAAGAGTCTAGGTTTCCTTTACTGCAAACTTTCAAGCTAGAAGATGAAGTAAAATGAATTTTATAATACTTTTTTGGTGGACAGTACCTTTGTGTCAATCAATTGGTAAGAATCTCCCAAAAGAGGAAATGGAGTCTAGGAACTTATTTAATAAACAAACTTCACCAAGATAGGACAAGATATTGACATTCCCTTACCCCCTCCCTTAAATTTATTAAAAGAAATCAAATCCACTATTTCATTGAAAGCATATTCTCAACCATGAGGAGAAGGTATCCACTCAACTGAGTCTGCCAATAGAAAAACGGAATAAACCTATACAAATATTAAAATTCAAAACATCACTAACTCCAAACTGTTCAGCCATGCAAATTGACAAGGACGGTCATTGAGAAAGTACATGGCAATTTATTGCCAAGTATAATGAGTTTTTTTTTTTTTTTTTCAAAATAGAACCTTTTTGTTTCATTTGCCAACGAGCTCAAAAAGAAGAAAACTTTTGCCTTAAACAAATCTCCAGACGTGTTCCAATTCTAATATTGCATCCCTCATTAAACCATGACTGCATAATATATTAATGTTATCGATATACCTCGAGCCATTGTCACCAAGGCCATGTAGCCAAACTATAGTTGCCTGGTGTTTCCCTTTAGGTCTGACCACATGGGTCCTCCCAAACTCCAATGTCCTTCTAGAACTCCCACTACCTGAAACGTGACGGAAATAAAATTCATTTGAAAAAAGGCAGAAACTCAAGATGATGTAGTTGCTAGAAAGGTTCACTAGTAAATCAATGAATGCAGTGTGTAAGAAGATGGAATGGGAATGTGGAATCACAACTGACCAGAACTCATCGAGGAGCTGCTGTAGCTCATATTTTCTACTCAAACAGCTAAATGACCAGGTCACTGCCGCAATGCTTAAGATGAGCTTCTGCAATGAAGAGCACCAACAACAGCAATCTCTATTTATACCCAAATGAGAGGGTGGCAATGGAAAATAAAAATATGAATGAATCTGCATCTGCTACCCTGCTTACAACACTAGCTAAAATCTCGTTGAAATTTGACAGAAAGTGAAAGGCACTTAAGAAAAGGAGATAGAAACAGAAGCAGCCAAAAAATCTTCTTTTAAAAAAAGTCTAAACCCTTTTGTCAGCAAGAATCCACAACAAATGTAGCACAAAAATGCAGAGAAGGAGCCAAAGCAAGTATTTTACTTTGTAATACACGGAGAATAAGATTGGAGAATCTATTCTCGTAGAAATTGAGTAAAGCGAGGAAAGCACTTGGCCTAAGACAACGAGAAGAATATTTGGTTATTATAAAATCCATTTTTTTCAGCCATTTGACATCTTGAATTTTCGAAAGAAATAATGTGCAAAACAGCATTAAGTAAATGAAGTTGAAACCTTTACTTTGGAATGAACTTGCTGGTATATTTCTTATATGATAATATATATATATACCAGAATCTTACACAAAAAAGAAACTAAAAGAAAAAAAATAAAGATCGAAAGGTGAAAAGGAAATGGAAAAAGTGAGCAAAGTTTTGTTCTTTGCACAAACCTAAACAACTCTAGCTGGTGAGAAACAAACCCAAAAAAGCATAAGGGCTGTTTCCTTTTCTCCTAGCTTTGTCTTTGTAGGCTTCTTCGTTCCCACGACTTTCCCCCAGCTCTTTTTGTTGTGTAACTTCACTCTTCACTCTTCACTCTCCACACTTACAACACAAAGCCCCAAGCATATAGATGCTTATTTTTCTTACAACCTCATGTTGACCATAATGCCCCCCTTTACTCGGTACTCATCGTCACATTCACACTCAGCAGATACTAAAAAGAATGTGAATGGGTCTAACTTTTTATTCTATTTATTTACTCTGAAATTTTGATCAAAAATTTATTTATTTTTATTAAATTTAATTAAGATTCTATACTATATAAGAAGTAAAATTGAGTCCATCCAATTTATCTCCATAATACATTAAATTTAATATTATGTTAGTTATACTGCACTAAATAATTTTTATATAATTTAAATTCATATGTTTTCTTACATGTAATTTATGAAAGTTCATACATAACATGTTTGTTTTCTTAGAAAATCCAATAATCTAACGTATTCTTATCTTTACTCATCTTGTCTTAGATAATGATATAGTCATTATTATTTATTTGTACGCCATAGCATATCTGCAAAAGGATCATTCGAGACATGAGTTAATCATACCAAATCATGAGAACCTTTGACTTCTTCGATTATCGATCACTCTTTAGATTGTAATCTTCGTTTATTAATCGCCTCAACCGGAATTATCTCACCTCTTATTTTTACTTTACAATTTTCTTTGTAGTTATCCTGTCATTTCGGTTCAGTTTAATTTGTGTTGCGATATTGAAATTAAGTATTTTACTTTTTTTAATTGGAATCAAAATAGTTTGAATTGAAAGAATTATGGATTTATTAAAAGAAAGGTACACATTATACCTAAAGTACATCAACTGTGATTAACTTTTGTCGTTTTCTGAAACAGAAACATTCGAGAAATTGATAATCTTCTTTTCAAGACTGATTTTTTAAAAGTAAAGCATGTTTGGGCGCGAAAAGAGTTTATGGTCCTTGTGTTTCTTCATATGCATTACGAAATGAACAGTTGCTTTTACAGATGAAAAGAGAGTAAAGAATATTAAATAAAATACATGAAAATGGCGAGTATTATGGATTAGTTAATATAGAAACTGGAATCTGACATTTAGTAGGAAATCGAGAAAAGCGATCGAAAAATGAAGGAAAGAAAAATCGAGAAACATGTGATTGATCGGTAAAGTGAAAAGGTGGATGAGAAACCATTCGATGTCCAATTAGAAGGGCATGACACATAAAATCGAGAGTTAGAGTCGGAATCGGAGAAATAATAGTCAAAAGTTTATTGTGGAACAAACCAAGAAATTAGAAGTATACGATGCTAAGGTTAAAAGGAATCAAAAGTAATCCAAAGTTCTCGATAAAATTGAAGTCTAAATCAAAAGAAAGGTTAACCCGCATAAATATCAAAATCGTGGTCAGATCATAAAGAGAAGGAGTTAAACACGCACATAGGAAACAATTTCTAAATCGTGGCGGAGGTTGAAGATCATGGGAACGTGGGTGCAGTTTTGACACCACAGAAGAAGAAACTGCAACGCGCACGAAGAACGTGGTAGCAGTTTTGTTAACTGCTCCTAGAAGGCTTGAATGATGCCCTATAAATAAAGCAGAGGAAGAAGGAATAAGGGGGCGGAAATTGGCGAGAGAACGGGATTAGTAGTGAAAAAGTCTACCGGAGAAACGACGAACACCATGAAGCTTCGGCAATCTGGATTTCTATGCTCACGGAGTACCTTTATCGCTTTCTTTATTTTCCTTGGTAATTTATTTTGATGCAATTTATATTCAGCAATTTTATGTTTATGTATTTTCGATTCTTGGTCATTTCGATTCAATGCAAGTTAAGTTTCCGTATTTAAATTCCCTAGTCATTTTACATTAATGCAATTTCGATTTCCAGTCATCTATTGCACCTTTGATTTACTGTCCTTTACATTTCCGGCAAATTAGATTTCTCGTTATTTACATCGTTTCTATTTCGATTCCCTGTCTTTTACACTTAAAGCAAATTTAAGATTCTCGTAGTTTACATTTCTTTGCAATCTAAGTTTCAACACTGATTTTCGATTCCATATATTTTCTGCTTTCTTTACTTCGAGTATTCTTAATACAAAACACTAAAAATAGTATCTTTAAAATCGGGTAAAATTCGATCCTCATACATATTTTGATTGAAAATTAATTTGCTAGCCTAAGCAAAAAGAACTTACGTGGTAGAATTTTGATTAGGGTCAAAATATCTTAAGAGTCGAAATCGATCGAAATTCCACCGAAACAAATTGGCGCGCCGAGTAGGGGACCGACTTGTGTTGAAAATACACAATTGGTTAGTTCGAAAGTGTATGAGATTAAGGAGTGGGAGGGTTATAAGAATGAGTCAAAATTCTTCAAATAACCAGAGTAATAGTGAGGGTCTAAATGGTGTACATTCACCAAATACTGGGGGACAAAGTCATAATGGGAATATGCCTGTAACATCGACAACTGCGAGTATGTCGACACCTGCGGGTAATGAACAAAATTCGGGCACCTTAGCAAATACCCAAGTAGGATCTAGTGTGGTGGTACCAAATAATATGCAAGCTGTGGGAAACCCCACAACCACATATGTAGGGCCATATATGAGTGTAAGACCTCCCGGGTTTTCACTTAATAATATGAGCGAGGCTGGAACTTCTTCAACACGAGAGGAATTCGAGATATAACTTAGGAATGCCTCAAACACTAGGTATGCCGCGAGAATTTCGAGTCACTCCAAATTTAGGGACATCTCAAAACTTAGCAATCCCCCAGAATGCAGGAAGTGGACATAATTTAGGTACACAACAAACACCTCCAAATCTAGATCATAAAGGAAATCTGGATCATGGGAGACATATATTCGATAGAGATCGATCCAATTTCGAAACTATCGAAAACACGGATACTGGAATATCTAGTAATTCATTAGGGGTACTTAGACAACAAATGGATGAGAGTAATTTTGAGATGGTGAATATGTTATCACAACAGTTGACTACAGTCCTAAATCCATTAGTTCAAAACACTACCGCTAGTTTCGAGATATTAGCAGACCAAATGTCACGAATCGGGGATGCATTGGCTATACCTCGACAAACAAGGGTAGAATATCATGCTAACCAGAATACTAATATCAATCCCCCGTATCTATTGAGGAGAAATAGAAACAATGATCAACATCAGCATATGGGGAATGAATACCAACATGTGAGGAATGATATTTATGGGAATTTGAACGAGGGATTTCAAAATATACACAATCAGAATAACATGTTAGGACAGAGGGTGAATTTACAAGGGATGGAATTTAGACCACCCAATCAAACATACTTTGTGTCACCCTTTCCAAATGCGATTCTCGAGACAGAATTACCTCGAGGATACAAAGTACCTAAATTCACCAAATTCGTTGGAGAGATTGGTGAATCAACTATCGAGCATGTAGCTCGATATCAGATCGAATGTGAGGATTTAGCGATAAGTGAGAAATTAAAAATGAAATATTTCCCTAGTTCTTTGACTAAGAATGCTTTTACTTGGTTTACTTCGTTACCACCCAATTCAATATATAATTGGCTACAACTGGAAAGGAATTTTCATGAGCAATTCTTTAGAAGAGAAACTCAAGTAAGTCTCATCGACTTGATGAATATAAAAAGATACAATCACGAAAGCATAAATGATTATTTGAATCGATTTAGACAAATGAAATCGAGATGTTTTACTCAAATTCTTGAATATGAATTAGTCAGAATGGCCTCTGCAGGCTTAGAATTCTCGATTAGGAAAAAGTTAGTCAATTTACCATTGAATGATATGGCTCAGTTAGCTGATAAAGTGAAAAGAGTAGAACAAATTGAATATGAAAAACAAAGATATAAGAAATTTGAGAAACCGATGAAGAAAGAAAGAATAGCATATATAAATGATGTGTATGAAACAGATCCCACGACAGAGAATGATGTGGAAGAGACTATCGATGAGAAAGTAAATATAGCAGAGCTCAAAGTAGGAGCTCCATATATTTGTAAATTGCTACAAAAGAATGAAGTAAAGGATAAGATGGCAAATCGAACATATACTTTCGATGTGACAAAGGCTGATAAAATCTTCGATATTTTATTAAAAGACAAACAAATTAAGTTGGGTGAAGATCATAAACTGCCTACGGCAGAACAAAGGAATGGTCGAAAATATTGTAAATTTCATAACGTTTTTGGACATTGGACTAACAATTGTATACATTTCAGGAATACAATCCAAGATGCGATTGACCAAGGAAGACTGAAATTTGAAGAGATGTCGATGAAAGTGGACACGAGTCCATTCGAAGTGCAAGTGGGATACATTGAA